GATCAACAGGATCTAACAACGGTTCATCATCATCAGGATCAGGATCATCAACTGGTTCATCTGGTGCTGCTGCTTCATCCGGTGCTGCTGCTTCATCTGCTGCTGCTGGCTCAAGTTCATCTGGTTCATCAGGTTCAGGAAATGCTTCAGATAATGGATCATCAGGCAAAGGAAACAATGCTTCATCTTCATCATCATCATCAAATGGTGGTAATAATGGTAATGATGTGCTGCTTCGCTGCTGCTGCTTCAGCTGCCGCTGCCGCTGCTTCTGCTGCTGCTGCTGCTTCAGGATCATCTGCTGGTAAAGGACAAAACAATGGATCAACAGGATCTAACAACGGTTCATCATCATCAGGATCAGGATCATCAACTGGTTCATCTGGTGCTGCTGCTTCATCCGGTGCTGCTGCTTCATCTGCTGCTGCTGCTGCTGGCTCAAGTTCATCTGGTTCATCAGGTTCAGGAAATGCTTCAGATAATGGATCATCAGGCAAAGGAAACAATGCTTCATCTTCATCATCATCATCAAATGGTGGTAATGGTAATGATGGTGCTGCTTCTGCCGCTGCTGCTTCAGCTGCCGCTGCTGCTGCTTCTGCTGCTGCTGCTGCTTCAGGATCATCTGCTGGTAAAGGACAAAACAATGGATCAACAGGATCTAACAACGGTTCATCATCATCAGGATCAGGATCATCAACTGGTTCATCTGGTGCTGCTGTCATCCGGTGCTGCTGCTTCATCTGCTGCTGCTGCTGCTGCTGGCTCAAGTTCATCTGGTTCATCAGGTTCAGGAAATGCTTCAGATAATGGATCATCAGGCAAAGGAAACAATGCTTCATCTTCATCATCATCATCAAATGGTGGTAATAATGGTAATGATGGTGCTGCTTCTGCCGCTGCTGCTTCAGCTGCCGCTGCCGCTGCTTCTGCTGCTGCTGCTGCTTCAGGATCATCTGCTGGTAAAGGACAAAACAATGGATCAACAGGATCTAACAACGGTTCATCATCATCAGGATCAGGATCATCAACTGGTTCATCTGGTGCTGCTGCTTCATCCGGTGCTGCTGCTTCATCTGCTGCTGCTGCTGCTGGCTCAAGTTCATCTGGTTCATCAGGTTCAGGAAATGCTTCAGATAATGGATCATCAGGCAAAGGAAACAATGCTTCATCATCATCATCATCATCAAATGGTGGTAATAATGGTAATGATGTGCTGTTTCTGCCGCTGCTGCTTCAGCTGCCGCTGCTGCTGCTTCTGCTGCTGCTTCAGGATCATCTGCTGGTAAAGGACAAAACAATGGATCAACAGGATCTAACAACGGTTCATCATCATCAGGATCAGGATCATCAACTGGTTCATCTGGTGCTGCTGCTTCATCCTGCTGCTTGCATCTGCTGCTGCTGCTGGCTCAAGTTCATCTGGTTCATCAGGTTCAGGAAATGCTTCAGATAATGGATCATCAGGCAAAGGAAACAATGCTTCATCTTCATCATCATCATCAAATGGTGGTAATAATGGTAATGATGGTGCTGCTTCGCCGCTGCTGCTTCAGCCGCCGCTGCTGCTTCCTGCTGCTGCTTCAGGATCATCTGCTGGTAAAGGACAAAACAATGGATCAACAGGATCTAACAACGGTTCATCATCATCAGGATCAGGATCATCAACTGGTTCATCTGGTGCTGCTGCTTCATCCGGTGCTGCTGCTTCATCTGCTGCTGCTGGCTCAAGTTCATCTGGTTCATCAGGTTCAGGAAATGCTTCAGATAATGGATCATCAGGCAAAGGAAACAATGCTTCATCTTCATCATCATCATCAAATGGTGGTAATAATGGTAATGATGGTGCTGCTTCTGCCGCTGCTGCTTCAGCTGCCGCTGCTGCTGTTTCTGCTGCTGCTGCTCAGGATCATCTGCTGGTAAAGGAAACAATGGATCAACAGGATCTAACAACGGTTCATCATCATCAGGATCAGGATCATCAACTGGTTCATCTGGTGCTGCTGCTTCATCCGGTGCTGCTGCTTCATCTGCTGCTGCTGGCTCAAGTTCATCTGGTTCATCAGGTTCAGGAAATGCTTCAGATAATGGATCATCAGGCAAAGGAAACAATGCTTCATCTTCATCATCATCATCAAATGGTGGTAATAATGGTAATGATGGTGCTGCTTCTGCCGCTGCTGCTTCAGCTGCCGCTGCCGCTGCTTCTGCTGCTGCTGCTGCTTCAGGATCATCTGCTGGTAAAGGACAAAACAATGGATCAACAGGATCTAACAACGGTTCATCATCATCAGGATCAGGATCATCAACTGGTTCATCTTGCTGCTGCTTCATCCGGTGCTGCTGCTTCATCTGCTGCTGCTGCTGCTGGCTCAAGTTCATCTGGTTCATCAGGTTCAGGAAATGCTTCAGATAATGGATCATCAGGCAAAGGAAACAATGCTTCATCTTCATCATCATCATCATGGTGGTAATAATGGTAATGATGGTGCTGCTTCTGCTGCTGCTTCAGCTGCCGCTGCCGCTGCTTCCTGCTGCTGCTTCAGGATCATCTGCTGGTAAAGGACAAAACAATGGATCAACAGGATCTAACAACGGTTCATCATCATCAGGATCAGGATCATCAACTGGTTCTGGTGCTGCTGCTTCATCCGGTGCTGCTGCTTCATCTGCTGCTGCTGCTGGCTCAAGTTCATCTGGTTCATCAGGTTCTGGAAGATAATGGATCATCAGGCAAAGGAAACAATGCTTCATCTTCATCATCATCATCAAATGGTGGTAATAATGGTAATGATGGTGGTCTGCCGCTGCTTCAGCCGCCGCTTTCTGCTGCTCTGCTGCTTTGATCATCTGCTGGTAAAGGACAAAACAATGGATCAACAGGATCTAACAACGGTTCATCATCATCAGGATCAGGATCATCAACTGGTTCATCTGGTGCTGCTGCTTCATCCGGTGCTGCTGCTTCATCTGCTGCTGCTGCTGGCTCAAGTTCATCTGGTTCATCAGGTTCAGGAAATGCTTCAGATAATGGATCATCAGGCAAAGGAAAACTTCATCTTCATCATCATCATCAAATGGTGGTAATAATGGTAATGGTGCTGCTTCTGCCGCTGCTGCTTCAGCTCGCCGCTGCTTCTGCTGCTGCTGCTGCTTCAGGATCATCTGCTGGTAAAGGACAAAACAATGGATCAACAGGATCTAACAACGTTCATCATCATCAGGATCAGGATCATCAACTGGTTCATCTGGTGCTGCTGCTTCATCCGGTGCTGCTTCATCTGCTGCTGCTGCTGCTGGCTCAAGTTCATCTGGTTCATCAGGTTCAGGAAATGCTTCAGATAATGGATCATCAGGCAAAGGAAACAATGCTTCATCTTCATCATCATCATCAAATGGTAATAATGGTAATGATGGTGCTGCTTCTGCCGCTGCTGCTTCAGCTGCCGCTGCTGCTGCTTGCTGCTGCTGCTTCAGGATCATCTGCTGGTAAAGGACAAAACAATGGATCAACAGGATCTAACAACGGTTCATCATCATCAGGATCAGGATCATCAACTGGTTCATCTGGTGCTGCTTCATCCGGTGCTGCTTCATCTGCTGCTGGCTCAAGTTCATCTGGTTCATCAGGTTCAGGAAATGCTTCAGATAATGGATCATCAGGCAAAGGAAACAATGCTTCATCTTCATCATCATCATCAAATGGTGGTAATAATGGTAATGATGGTGCTGCTTCTGCCGCTGCTGCTTCAGCTGCCGCTGCTGCTTCAGGATCATCTGCTGGTAAAGGACAAAACAATGGATCAACAGGATCTAACAACGGTTCATCATCATCAGGATCAGGATCATCAACTGGTTCATCTGGTGCTGCTGCTTCATCCGGTGCTGCTGCTTCATCTGCTGCTGCTGCTGCTGGCTCAAGTTCATCTGGTTCATCAGGTTCAGGAAATGCTTCAGATAATGGATCATCAGGCAAAGGAAACAATGCTTCATCATCATCATCATCATCAAATGGTGGTAATAATGGTAATGATGGTGCTGCTTCTGCCGCTGCTGCTTCAGCTGCCGCTGCCGCTGCTTCTGCTGCCGCTGCTGCTTCAGGATCATCTGCTGGTAAAGGACAAAACAATGGATCAACAGGATCTAACAACGGTTCATCATCATCAGGATCAGGATCATCAACTGGTTCATCTGGTGCTGCTGCTTCATCCGGTGCTGCTGCTTCATCTGCTGCTGCTGGCTCAAGTTCATCTGGTTCATCAGGTTCAGGAAATGCTTCAGATAATGGATCATCAGGCAAAGGAAACAATGCTTCATCTTCATCATCATCATCAAATGGTGGTAATAATGGTAATGATGGTGCTTCTGCCGCTGCTCTGCCGCTTTCTGCCGCTGCTGTTTCAGGATCATCTGCGGTAAAGGACAAAACAATGGATCAACAGGATCTAACAACGGTTCATCATCATCAGGATCAGGATCATCAACTGGTTCATCTGGTGCTGCTGCTTCATCCGGTGCTGCTGCTTCATCTGCTGCTGCTGCTGGCTCAAGTTCATCTGGTTCATCAGGTTCAGGAAATGCTTCAGATAATGGATCATCAGGCAAAGGAACAATGCTTCATCATCATCATCATCATCAAATGGTGGTAATAATGGTAATGATGGTGCTGTTTCTGCCGCTGCTGCTTCAGCTGCCGCTGCCGCTGCTCTGCTGCTGCTGCTTCAGGATCATCTGCTGGTAAAGGACAAAACAATGGATCAACAGGATCTAACAACGGTTCATCATCATCAGGATCAGGATCATCAACTGGTTCATCTGGTGCTGCTGCTTCATCCGGTGCTGCTGCTTCATCTGCTGCTGCTGGCTCAAGTTCATCTGGTTCATCAGGTTCAGGAAACGCTTCAGATTCTAGATCTTCAATAGATTATGAAACCGTTTCACATGCAGCCGGATCTAGCATGTTCGATCGTGCTTATTTATCATCCTTTGTTAACTCACAGGGGCAAACTTGTTACTGTTACGCCTAAAATTAGCTGTCTTAAATAATGTTTCAATAAAATCATTTAAATGATAAATAATTGCTTCTATATTTATTAAGATTAGAACTTTTATGTTCTTTGTTCATCAGGTGATTTAGGGATTTTTCGGAAATCATGAGATTATACTGTTGAATTATCTTCCATTGTATGTTGCAAAAAAATTTACTAGAGTTTTGTAGCATTACAGAGATAAATAAGACAGAAAATAAAATCTTAGCATTGGAATATTTATTATATATTGATAATTATCGCGAAACTATTAATAAATCTCCACGTCTGGTACTGGTATTGCAATCAGCTCTCACGCTTAATTAGTAAAGTTGGATTTTCATTCTGATTTGCAGGGATAGAATGTATTAAGAGAATCATTTAGTTTAAATTTCTACATTGTATGAAAACAAGATGCAGGAATTATGTGTTTAAAACAATTTTCAATATGTACTATTTATTAGCTTCTAAAGTAAAGTTGATAAAGGAATGAATAGCCATTACGGTAAGCCTCCGAAGGCTTCACTATCGTAAAAATAGTATCAAGAGTGAGTACCACTCTTTTAGGGGATGGAGAGATTTAAATTCTAAGGAATATAATAACGATAGATTATTAATATTTATAATTAAGTAACAAAATTTGCGTTTTTTGTCAAGAAAAATTTGACATATTCCTCTTAGGCTTGCTGAAAATGGTCCGTAACAAATGAGTATTAATCAGTAAGTCTTGAATCTAATTGTTCCTCATCGGCCAGCCATGGAAGAAAAAACATCGTTCTAGAAATTTTTCGATATAGCTGTAGAAAACTTTCATTTTCTCCATAGACTCCTATGTAAAAATGGATTTTTGATTATCTGTATCTTCTGAACCAAAAGTTTCCGCATCATTTCCATCCATATGTATGACCTATATGTTGAGGGCTATACACTGAAAAAGTATTAAGACGATTTGCGAACGGTGGTGTTCTAGAGTCTTACCGATTTGAATAAAAAATTCAAAACTCTTTGTATTCACAATCATTAAAAATACTCGGAAGCATAAAAATAGCAATTACTGTCCATGAGATTCCATGAGATTGTTGTTAATTATTCGATTGATAAAACGCGGGGGTCGAGAAAAAAGTTATTGAGTATATTTGAGTTCGCCATAAAAAGTAGGTCCAGAAAAATAAGGTCTGATTGGTGCATCATGGTGTCAAAAAAGTTACGTTTAATTCACAAGGGAAAAATATTTTTTTTATTCTGATCAGTCCGTTCGACATAGCTCACCAAGAGCTTTCGATTGATACCTATTTCGAAAAATTCGGAAAAGTTCAGCAAAAAATCCCACATTTTGGCTATCCTACTTTGATGTTAACCAATTTGTTAACCATCATCGTCACATTTTCATTCTGTATCACCTCGATGATAGAATAAGATTGTGGTTCAATAAATGGTTATAAAAGATGATCCAGATGATTTAATGTGCCCAAAACTAAGTTCTTTTTACTATTATGTTAAATTTTTTAATATTTTCTATTCTCACCCAACATGATATCTAGTGTATTGATTGTTTTCCGATTTTCTCAGTCAAACGTGAAAATATTAATCAAATTTTTGTGTTTTGTTTTTTTCAATAAAAAGAAACAATTTAATTTTCTAAATTATACAGGGCGTTTTTTTATCCACTACGGCTAATACACTGCATATTGCCAGAACTAAGATCATATGAATGTCAGACTTGACCAGAAGACTGAACAGAATAGAAGCGCTCGACCCTGTATTAAAATTCACATTTTAATTGCTATAATAATCGGGTGATTGTGTACGAACAATAAAAATGATGTGGGTTAATATTTGGTCAACAATAGTAATTAGAAAAATGATTAATTGTGAAAGGAAATTTAATCTTTAAAATTGATTAACAGATTACAGAACTATTAATAGTTACAATTTTTATCCTGCAAAGAAATCTGATTGCACTTTTAATAGAGAGGTTTTTAATTAGAAATTAGATCAAACAAATTGACTGAATCTTTTCTTCTTGCTGGAATTGTTAATGTTAATTCGGGTTGATAATTAATTTAGTTAATATTAGTCACTATTCATCAGAATCTTGATCATCTTCAATTGACCCAATTAGATACATAATCAACCAGAGCTGCTTTAATTAACTTGCGAACATCTGGAGTATTGCACAGCAATGGATTCAATTGTGGACGCGAACTGAATGAACTTGATTGTGAAATGCAAGCTTGAGAAATAAAATCGAGCTGTGATTAGTTGGACACTTTACAAGCGTACCGATTAAATTGCCTGACGATGAAGTTTTGCAAAGATAGAATTTGTCACAATCAACTTCAAATTGGATCGATTATGTTTATCTTCTTTTTCTTGACTGTTTGGTGTCGTTGATTTGTCTTCTTATCGGGGTTCTGTCATCATCGACGATGGTGTTTATTGTGACTCGTTGTTTGCTGTCTTTTGCTCCGTTGTGGATGTTGGTACTTTCAGCTTTGGTTGTAGGAGATTCAGAACTTGGTTCTGAACTTGAACCTTCGGTTTCATGTTGAGCTGATGTTGTAGACGGAGTCCAACTTGGAGAAGGCGATTCAGCCAAAGTTGGTGCACTGGATGTTGTCGTTGTTGTTTCGCGAGTACTTTGACTAACTTGTGTTTCTGAAACCGATTCTCTCGTAGCAAGTGAAGGTTTTTCCGTCGTAGATCACTCTCTTCATGTTAATTTCTAATTAAATACAAGAACAAAACAGAAAAGGTGATTTAAGTTGGAAAACAATTGAAGAAGAAGATTAATCGACAACTAATAACAATGAAAAAGATGTTCAAACTATACTTGGTTTAATATTCGCCAAACCTTCAGCAAAAGCATGATTAGTTTTACTTCAGTTGAAATAGATCAGGGTATTGAGAGTGGAAGAGCTTAGCTGGAAATTGGAAATGGATCCATAGGTGGATAAAAATAAAAGTTATTTTGATAATTACAACCAAAAGGAGAAGAAACGTGAACTTGGTTTAAGGAAAAATTGAGTTTCGTCTTCCACTTAATTTGTCCACATCTTTTCGACATCATCATCATGTCACTTAAACTTGGACAATTGAAAATCATTATGATCAACTGTTAGTCACTAGAAAGAGACAAAATAAATAGAAAAAGGTCAATTAATCACGCGCGAAGTAAACTTTTTGACCAAACATTAAATTACTCTAATTACTTTAATTACCATTAAATGTTCTTTTTTTCATTTGCTTTTGATTTAGTTTGAGATAGACATTAAATTTTCAAAATTCTTTAAAGCATTTATAAGTGTTAATTTCTTCGAATCAGTTATTGTTATCAAATCGTTTGTATTACTTGCGTAAAGATGGGCAGGGAAATTTAGTGAAGCGCAGCGAGGGAAGATGGATGTGGCGATAATGACCTACGACGACATAGGAGAGGTCAATCTTGAGGCCTTAACCGAAAAGGTAAATTTAATACGCGCTCCCGGTAAACTCATAATATACATTTCAAAAATGCGCAAATATTTGATGAAAGGATTCAATGATAAAGCTGATGGCCGCCCTAAATATTGTTCACAATTACAATAACTGTTCAGTGATGGGATCAGTTCGCGAACAAATTTCGAATTTTGAGCTGCACTTAGCCCAAACTTCATTTGAAGCGAAGCCACAAACCAAAGTGATCGAACCAATAAGTTCTACCTATCATATTTTTTATGCCCCAAATATAAATTTACTTCCACCCACCGACTAATCAACTTCCCCATTGTCCCCTTTTTTTAACTTTCATTTGAGTTTCTATTTTCATTTTTTATTTTTAAATAAACAATTTTCTTGAACACAAATATTGTTGCCTGGGGACATGGAAATCATCATTGTTTTCTACACTTAGAATTACTACTTATGTATTACTAGTTATGTTAGAGTTGTGAATTAAATCAAAGATTTAGCTTATTTGATTAATCAAAAAGTTCTGTATCCTGGAGGGAAGAGTAAATTAAGAGATTTCTTTGTGACTTGAGTGGCAAATTACCAGCCCAATCGATAGTAAAACTCAATCAATTGTTCAGAAAGTTAATTTGTGTGTTTAGATTCGAATTGCTTTTGAACGGTTTTTATGCACGACCATATTGGCCTTCACCGATTGCATGTTGATATACAAGTTTATGACATTTAGTGTAATTGATTTCATACAATTTTTTAGATAGAAAATTATCTTGTCTACTTGTTATAACTAGTATTTTGGATTTAATTGATGCTCGATTGGTTTGGATTCGCATCATTATCTGGTGCGAATGACTGGAGTTGATTTAGATTCAGATACAGATTTTTGATCTGATTTGCTGAGTTTTAAGATGGACAGACCTTTGCGATGAAGTGCTTCACATATTTTCATATTTTTTGTTGTGCTCTTCGTTGACATTTTGGCTAAATTTTGGGCAAAAAGTAATGACCCATAGAAATCAGCAATGTTTTGAACACTTATTATCTCATTGGCAAAGTTAAAAATTTTCTCGTATTGCTTTAGCGTTTGGCTGATTCATTTTTAGCCAAATTAAGAATTTGAAGTTGAGCGACAATCATTAGTTGTTTTTTGTCAGGTTTGAGATCAACAACATCAGCGAGCAAGAATTCTTATCCTTGTAGATTATTGGAAATAAATGGAAAATTGACAAATAAATGAATCGATCAGAAAATTTTCTGACAATAAAAATCAAATTCATGAAGAACATGTCAACTTAGTTTGCGATCCAAAGTACATTCAAATTGATCAGCTCGCTGTAAATGCCGTAAATATCAAGAATGTGCAATAGATGAAACCTGATTAATTTCAAAGTTGATGATGATGGTTAATCAATATCGTCATTTATCACCAATTATCAATGATAACATTGAACAGATAAACCGGAAGCTAATGAATATTTTATCTTCATGTATAATCAGTCAGTTTACTTTCCTTGGATTAGTAGAGAAGTAATACAAATTATAATAATCAACCGATTCCGTATACATGTAAGATTTGTTGTCGAGGCTTCAGACAAACTAGCTTAGTAAAATGAACAACGATCGAAAAAATATTTGTTGCCTCTTTTTCGCAATGTTATTCGTTATTTTGGCCAATCTATTACCTTTATCTGCACGGATTCCATTTTTCTTGCAAATTTTCACTAAAGAATATTCTAATGGCTGGTACAATCTAAAGATATATACTTTGCCTCACAATTTGTGGCCGAAGTACCATTCTCACTATTCTTATCGTTAATTTGTATCACTGGTCAATTCTATTCCACTTCTCAGCCATTTGATCGGCTCTTTGATACTATCATAGTTTTCTTAGCGACTTTCTTAGTCGCCCAACTTAATGGATTAGCTATTGGTATTTTATTGATGGATCATAATATCTTCCATATTAACTGCACTAAATACTTTGATTCCGATGCTACTTTTGTCCGGATTTTTTGTACACATAAGCAAAATGCCATACACAGACCAGATAGTTTCTTAATCAATCAGATGCATTAATCGATTCAATTATCGCAAGTTTGGACGGGCCTTTTTTAATAAGAGGCAGAGAATCATGAAATTTTATCAGATTACTGATCAACACTATTATCAATCAATTCTAAAGCTCATCACCTCTGCTGAAATATTGTTCAATGTCATAATTTTTGATGTAATAATAAGATTTCAATCAATGTCTCTTTAAACTCAATAGTTCTAACCTGTGGGGAGAAAGTTTGGGGTTTTTTTGATAAAACATTCGTAGAAACCGTAGCATTGAGCCTATTCGACTGAAATTTTATATTCTCATAGTTAATATACAAGAGATAATATTGTATAAATTTCAGGTCGAAAAAAATTGACAGAAATATTTTTAAAATTAGTTTTTTGAATATTTTTTCGATACATGCTCAAAATTTGTATAAAAATTAGGTTCAACTTAATTCTGTCAAGAGATAGAGCGAAGATATTCAAAAAAGAAAGTTGAATTTTTTTGCATTTTGACAAAATCGAATTTTTCCCATTGACAGCCATGTTAAAAGCTCTCATAGGCTTGACATGTATTCAATCTCATCGATTTTTTTTCTGCAACTTTGGAACTCAATCTTGTCCGAACTAATTGACCAATTGGAATTTTTTTCTTTCATCGATATGCTGGTTAATTAATAATCCAAATAATTTTCTAATTTGAATACAATTCGTTATCAAAATATTACGATTTTAGCGAAAGTTCCCAAACTTTTTCCTCACAGGTTTTTAGTTAATAAAAGGACAATTATCGTTGGAAACAAAGGATCTATCAAAGATCGTCTTATTTTATAGGCATTCACGTCAATTTTACAAATTGTCAGAGCTTTTTAGCTACTTGGTAACTATTGACCAATTCTTGGTACTATCACAATGTATTAATAAATAAAAACAAAGAAAAATAATAACGATGCGGATGAAATAAGATTAGAATGCATATTAGATAAATGATGATCAAAGAAACGATAAAAATTGAATTGGATTCTCGATATTCGATGAACTACCAGGCATCAAATTCACGAAGTATATTGATAACTACTCGATTGATATAATAACCCGTTTGCATTGCATAAGTAAAATCCATATGATTCCATTTCTCAAATGGTACCAAATAATCTCGGAATAACGGTACTAAGAAATGGAAGAGAAAATTGATTAGTTTCGGTCAAGTCTTTTCGATCCAAAAGTTAAATTGAAAGAGAATTTAAATTTACCTTTGAGAAGTGATTTAAGTAGTGAGACATCTTGAGGGTCAGCGAGCAGGTCATTTGATGAATAAAGAAAAGCGATATGAGTCGAATTAATTTTATCTAAAGGATATTCGGGTGGATGAGGTGAACCGTATTTACGAAGATTATTTTTTAAACCTAAATCGAATCGAGAAAATGACCTTTGATTGATCATTTGACAGAAATGAACCATATTCCAAGATGAAGTACCAGCAGGATCGTGGGCCGCATAAACGGGTAATCGGGTTACATTTAATTGCGTTGAATCGTAGCCCATTAGCAGGAACAATGTATTAGAACAGATAAAGTGAAATGGTGGTGTACAAAGAGTACGTTTAAGGTAACGAATGAAACGATTATTGGACAGAAATTCACCACCATGGGAGCGTAAAAATTGAACAGCGGGTTCGATCTTGGCCAACATACGAATAGGTGACTGTAAATGGTCAACCCGTGCGACCGGTGCCAATGCGATAAAAGGTTTTATCAGGTTCGAGTATTCGGGTTTGATTGAGAGAAGGCCAAACATTAAAAGAGTTCCTTGTGAATGTCCAATCCAACCAATGGAATCTAAAAAGATGGACAATCAATTACAATTGTATTCTAATTGCAAGTGGTTTTTGTTTACATGAGATTTTCCAATTATCACCTGATCGAATTGATCTTGATCATATCTTGAGATGGAAATGATTTAATTTTTTACCTGATTGAGTTTCATTCAGCACATGATGGATAATTGCAGGAGTATCATAAGTAATCATCTCATCGAAAGTGAATTCCCAGAACTTTGAATCTGTTGAAAGATAATTGATACTTTTATTAGCAACTAGAGTTAATTGTAAACAAAGTCATCTATTGATCATTGTCATATGATAGTAAAACTAATCATCATGTTTATGATCAGCTGATTAAATTATTTCCAAGGCCGATTTTTGAATGGAAAATCCTAATCATCATTAATTTGTTCACTTATTAATAACTTTACAATATCAAATTGAAAAGGATTATACTTTTTCAAGGTTCTAATCATATTAATAATTATCACCGACGATATGATTCACTGATTGTTATGATTGCTTATTCCCGGTAAACAATTAAGACACTTGAAGAGCTGATTGAGAAAATCACAACAATCAAGGTGATGATTTTAAACAGTTTCAATGTTGACATTGGAAAGTGTTAATCACTCGACCTTGATGAAGATTTTACCGGATTAATCTTACCTTTGTCTGGATTAAGAAATGAATGATTTCTTGAGTAAATGTTACCTCGAGAATTAGATATCCAAACATCATAACCCAAATTGGCCAACACAAAACCTAAATTGTTACCAATTGGATCGTTAATTGTTTCATTTATATTAACGTCATTGGCTAAAATATTGTCAATATCATTGTCAGCTAATCCATGGTTAACCCAATCTTTAATTGATCCATCAGGAGAGGAGATTATAAAATCAGCACCAGAACTTAACAGTCCATGTTGAAGGATAATTGGTTTTCTTTTTTCAATCAATTTAATGTCAACAAGTGGATTAATTATCCGATAAACACCTAATATGTAATCATCTTCTGTTCGGATATGATGAGTTTCACTGATGAATCCTCGAGATTCAATAACTTGACCAATATCACGATCTTCATCTGGATCAACTTTCCAACAAAAGATACAATTAAAACTTAAATAATTAGAAATTAACAAGATTATAAAATAGAATGAGAAAACTTTAATAGCCATAATGATAATCAAATTAAATTGTTAACCATCAATCGTTAAACACTAAATCATAATGATTACTTTCACTTTTATACTTGGATGATTGTGGTTGGTGACTTTTTTTTCAAATGATTAAGTTGATTGTGATTGCTATCGTTGTTGTTGATTAAAGAGTTGTTTTTAATTGTAATTACTTTGAGATGGTTAATCAATACTTGAATTGTTTACGTTCGGGCAAGGTAATTAACTTGACAGAAATACCTTGAAATATTCAAGGTTAACTAATAAGTAAACGTTGTAATGGACAAGACTGTTTACACCATATAATCAGATTTAGTTTCTTTTAATCAACAATTAAGAGACACTTCTTAATTGCGAATGTATAATCCTTGGACAATTTAATTTCTGTATCAAATCAAAAAATAATTTGGTTCTCTTAAATGTATCATAACCAAAATCATCGTATCCAAGGATCATAATTACCCGATAACAAGGAAAGTTAGATGTTGTCCAGAAGTAATTAACGAACCAACTCGATTCCACTAATAACATTAGCTAAAGTGATTTACGTAAATCACTCTAAGTTAATTGTATGCCATTTTTGTCTGTAATTAAATCGTAAGACTATGTAACGATGGGTTGATTGTAAATCGAGAGTCGAAAGGTTTTTCGATTGTCTTAACATTAATACCATGATAATCACAATTTTCGATGGAAAATTTTAATAGATAATCTAAATAATTTTAGATAATTAATTTTATCATCAACCCGAATTGAGCTTTTTTCAATTAAAACTCTTCATACTCATAAGTAATGAGAACACTGTAAAGGCTTCGATCGTGAACTTTAGGTCACTTTTTCGCTACAAAAATGATCATCATTTATCATTGGCCATCTCAAATGTATGGTAAAGACAAATTTTGATGCTCTAATCAAATTATTTGTGGTGATACGATTGAATTTAATCATTGTTTGCAATAACGCCTTTATCTTCAACTGTATCTTGGTACTAATCAATTTAAATGTAGATTAATTAACAATAAAAGTCATTGTTTTATTTGAAAGTTAAAGTGTGTGCGTTTCATTTTCAACAGTGACCATTTTTGTTGCGGAAATTATTGTTTCCATAAGCTATATCAATATCGTGAACCAACAAAGTTTTGACAAAAATGCCTAAATTAAGTAAAAATGATCTACTAGAAGTAATTAGTCTTTTACGGCTTGATGTGTTCTTTTTGTTGGCTATGCTGGGCTCTTCCATTCCATCGATTACCATTAACCAATTAGCACAAGATAAGTGGTGTCTCAACTCGTTCTCGGGAAACCAATCAGTTTGCTTGAACCTGGAAAACTCTGGTACAGAATATGAGTCCTTAAGAAATGAAGTTCTGAAAAAAGCGACAACTTTGAAAATGTATACAACCATCTTAAAGACGATTCCTGGTATACCCACATCATTATTTCTTGGATATTGGATTGATACATATCCAGGTCACATTCGTTATCTCCTAACATTCGGTCCAATTACCATAGTCATTCAAAATCTAATGATTTGGTACCAGTGCATCCATTTTGAAACAGGTAAATAATAGATATTACATAACATTAATCATAAAATATAATCATGAAAGTTCAAAGTATGTTAACAGATTAGATTATCGCATCTAAAAGCCGATAAGGTTTACATTGAAATCTAGGTTTTTTGTACCTGGATTTATAAATAGATTTATATTATAATACAAGAACATCAAGATTAATCAGCCACAAAAACGCCAAGAAAAACGTATTTATAAATTAATTACGCAAAAATAGATAAATATTTAATTATCTTTTCAATTGTGATTAAGTTTCTCTTTAACTTTCCATCTTAATTTAATTTTGATGAAAAACTCTCTTAATGTGTATTGTGATTTAGTTATAACTTTCAGTGTGAATAGTAATAGTTATGAATTCATCATATTTTCTTAGGAGCGATGTCTTTATTATATACATACATTGTACCCGCGCTTACCTCGAGCTTGGTAGCAACTGGAGCCTTTACATATGCAACTCGAAAAACACCGCCCAAGTATCGAGCGATCAGATTCACCGTATTGGAGATATTTGTCATTGCAGGTTCGTTGTCTTATTGGACATTCAATTCCAACTCGATTTTTAAGAGATTGAGTTAACATTTTTATAAATTTCTTTTTCAATAAAAGCAATGCCGTTATCTTCATCTATTGGTGGTCTTCTTTTGGGAATGAAGCCTTGGTTATCTAGTCAACTTCGTAATTACATCGGTGTCATCATCGTATCAACTGCTTGTTCATTGATTGCTGCCATTTGGAGTGCAATTATGATCACAGATACAAGTCACGATATTGCAAAACAAGAAAATGAGACAACAAACGATGAAAATAGTGAAGATAAACCTCGAAATTCAACCAACCCCGATACGATTGATAAAAAGAAGGAGAAAACTTTAACTGAAAAGATTTCAGAAGTTCTCCAATTTGGTAATCTGATTAAAACTGTTCAAACAGCGCTAAGACCTCGAGAAAATAACCAAAGAGCCGCTTTACTTATGATAATATTGTCAATGATCATTTGTAATATTGGCTACCTGGGTGAAACTGAAATTGGCCTACAATTTGCCCAAAGAGTGTACCATTGGAGTTCTGAACATTATTCTTATATGACTTCCGTTATGATCATTCTTCCGGCAATTTTAATTTTCGCTACTCCGGCCATTTTAATCCATAAGTATAATCTACACGACACTGTTATCGGAATCTTGGGTAGTTTATCTCTCGTATCATTGTTACTTATTAAAGGAATATTCTTGAATCAAACAGCTTTTCTAATCGGAGTGATTCCTGGTGGATTCATTGGCCTCTTACCCATCGTTAATAGGACAATCGTTTCAAGAATTATTCGTGCCAATGAAATTGGTCAAATTTACTCACTCATTTCAAGTATCGAACCTGCTGGACCCTTGATATCATCTGTTCTTTATACGAAAATTTTCAATGCGACAATTGATGATTACCCAGGTACTGTTTACATTGTTATTGGAACTATTTGCTCTTTTCCAACATTCGTGACATTTTGGCTCTACATAACAAAAGATCAGTGGGATTTAGTTCTAATTGGCGAAAAAGCAAAGGCAATTAATGGTGATAACAATGATAAAAACAACCAATCAACTTCCACTCGTGGCGATGCAACCTCAAAGAGCACAACTTTAAGCAGCGTCTCTTTTCAAAGTGATCAGCATGTTGTCCAGATTCGGGATGAACTTAACGAGAACAATTAACCAACAACATGGTAATCTAAATTGTGAAAGAAAAAGTTAGATGATTGTTAATTGAGAGAGAGAGAGAGAGAGAAAAAGCTAATTCTTATGAAAATATCATCAATAGAGGGCAGAATATGTTTCATAGTGAACAATTAACTTAAGAGAGATCGCTAGACTTCAATCGTTTACAAAATAAATGAAACTGACGAGTTTATAATGAATACCAATAAATTTATTACCAGCAATTAAACTTACCTTATTCACTAAATTTTGTCAATTTTAATTGACTCAAGGCACTTGAAACCTGATTAATTTCAAAGTTGATGATGATGGTTAATCAATATCGTCATTTATCATCAATTATCAATGATAACATTGAACAGATAAACCGGAAGCTAATGAATATTTTATCTTCATGTATAATCAGTCAGTTTATTTTCCTTGGATTAGTAGAGTATTAATATAATGATAATAATCAACCGATTCCGTATAAGATTTGTTGTTGAGGTTTCAGATATCATTTGATGATCAATTTATTCATTTTAACTTCCGATTCTCACATTTCATTCAGAAAGAGGTAAAAATTACTGAAACCTTGTCGAAATAAGTTCTTACAAATGAATCATTCCACCGGAAAAAGTTCTGACTCTATCAAGAGACTTTAATTGATAAATTTGAATGAGATTCAGTTATAACAATTTCAATGGCGATTTCAACTTAGGTTTGATTAATGACATCATGATAGAAGTTGAATTTTAAACTTATTTCCAATATTAAATCACCACGTGATGATTTAATTTGATTAGCTGTTGATCACTTTAATTATCAGTAAAAGATTAATCACTAATTAGTGCGTCAAACAAGATATAACTAATTATCTTGTTAATCATGCTCAATTTTTTCTTCTCTCGGACTCATCAGAAATGCTACGAATCTTATGAAAGATAATTACCCTGAAAAATTACGAGAAATAATCGTTCAAATATGGTTAAGAACCAATTTCGTAACTGAAAAGCTGCTATGATTTGAACCGATTTAAAGTTTGCACAATTTAAATTGGTAAATTGTTGCAATCAGATTTTCAGGATTAGATTAACAAGAAAAATCAGATTAATTTTCATTGTTGATGCTCATTTATTATACATTATTTGGGTGATGATAAAAAGTCTCACCATGAAGCTGAGATAACTTGTAAAGTGGAAATAGGAAAAGATTTGAATTGTTATAGTCTTTCAAGCAGAATCATTTGATCATGATAATCGCATGGGAGCTCATCAGGGAGGAAGTAAACTTTATCTCACCACAACAAATGGAAATAATCAAACCATTGGGATTCTGCATGGTGAAGAGAAAGAGAGAGAGAGAGAGAGAGAGAGAGAGAGAGAGAGAGACTTGATGAACCATGAAGATGAAGGAAGAGGAATGAAAATAATGTAACCAAATTATCTTGATAGTTTCCCAGGTAACTATTGCTTTATCATAAAGAAGATGACGATTTCATATTTTTATTCCATCATCATCATCATCATCGTCATCATCCTTGGTTACAACTGATTGAATAAACAAGACTGTCAACATCGAACTGGAAAAGTCATTGAGTTCTAATGGTTTACTTGAACAATCTATTGGGAATTTTTGTTCATTTTCGAGGTTCTCTCTTTTCTTTCCAACTATTCAATCATCATACTTGATGTGATCATGGTCAGAGTTTTATAATTATTGTAATAATAAGTATCATGATTATGAAAATATTTCTATAATTTCTGATGATTATTATCTAATTATGAAGAAAAAAATCTAAATTAACTTGAAAGTCTCTTATTGGTAATCTTATTAGAAAATTTTTCCTAACCCCTTGTGTGGGTGTTACGATGAATAATATAGATATTCATATAAAAAATTTTCTTTAAAGAAAAAAATCATTCTTTTTCAGGTGCATAAATGTATCTATTTTAAGCAATCATACTCTCTCTCTCTCTCTCTCTCTCTCTCTCTCTCTCTCTCTCTCTCTCTCTCTCTCTCTCTCTCTCTAAAAATCAAATACTTTATTCAAATCAATTCGATAAAATCTTGGAAAATATTCCAGGACAAAGAGATAGATTGTTTCCTCATATGAAAAGTTCATGAACTGAGGAGATATGAAGAGATTATCATTAGACTAACAAATATTATCTACTGGACTAAAATAGTATAATATTGAATTGGATAACAACTGAATAGATTCTTGATGAATAATTAATTGTTTACGAAAAGTTCTGGATTAACAATTGAACAAGAATTATTATTATTACTTAAACTTAGTTCCCAATCCATTGTTTTTCGGAAACTTTGGTATTATGAGACCTGATTGAATATGGAAAAAATTACGATAAGTAATGTTATTATTCTGCCAGAGCTTTTCGTATCTCATCCTCAATCTCGAACTTTATTAATATTTTAACGATAATCGCCAATTTCATGAATTATTATCTTAATTAATCAGAAGTTGTTCACCAAGATCAGTAAGTTATCATGAAATCTCTTGATTATCTTGATATCTTATTGTTTCCGTGATTTCAAGTTTTCAGAGTCAATTCTCAGAATCATCACCATTATCATCAAGTTTCTTTGTTTTCTTCCTTATTTCCTATTAATCCTGTTAACGATAATTGCTAATTAATATTGTACCAAACAAGACTATCAATATTTAATTATCTCAATCAAGTGAGATATAATTAACTGGATTGCACTCAGTCCAGTTGAATAACATAAAATTAACTAAACCCAATTACTATTTAATTGAGATTCAAAATCATCATTAACTTTCAACCGAAAAGGTTGATCACTTATAAGAAAAGGAAAGGACTCTGAAAGTTCATCTGAATCTAAAATTCCATGATAATTAGGTGTTGATTCAAGTTCATTGACCTTTTCTAGAACAATAAAAGATCAACGATTCGCTTCTGTGCTTGTCATAATACATTAGATAGAAAAAAAGTATTCATCTTATATAATATTCACTATTCTGATTTGTAAATGATGTCTCATCAGAATTAATCTCTATCTTTATCTTGTCATTTATTGAATTTTCAGTTTCACCATGTGACAATCTGATAATAAATCTTTAACCAAAGACGGAGATGAAACAACACCATGTAATCAACATGGTGCTTATATGAGTTATCTAATGATCAGTTCTGGGAATTGGTCTGAACTTTTATAACCTTTTATCAATAATACTCACAATGTTATCAAGAATAACTTATAATTCAATATCAAATTATTTCTTTTTCGTATTATTTGTAATAAAATTCAATAAATATCATCAGAATTTCAATGCTACACTTTAAACTTTCAACAATATTATAACGTTAAAATCTGATCTCTCCCAATTCGGAACCGTTACTCAAATGAGATGATTATCAGTCTTAATCATTTTCCAATTTTTAAATTGATTAATGACAATTAGATTGCACTTTTTTTTCTCTATAAAAACATAATCAGTTAATCAGAGATGATTAAGTAATTATTAATGAAAAAGGTAAGAAAATGAAATGAAAACAACATTAATTCATTTTAAGGTGAAAATGAAAAGTTAATCAAAGTTACATTATGAGAGATTGAGAAGTAAAAATCTATTAAGATTAAACTTTGATTGATCAGTTAATTAACTTTTAATGATTACTGGGGAGGAAAAATTGATTAAACAATTAATTATACAAGTTTACAGTTTAAATCTCATAATCAATGGTAATATAAGAGTTTATTTTGTTAATTATAATTTAAATCAAGTGATGATTAACAATGATGAGCAAATAGCATAGTAATTGTTTCGTGGTATTAATATTATTATATATAAAAAATAATGATTATATCACAATTAGTTAATCGGGTTGATCAAAAATCGGATTAGCAAATTAGTTTGTAAAACTTTTTCATCTCTTTTTGTTTTGTTTTTTCGTATACGGTAATTACGGTAATTAACAATATTAACAAGAGTTAATCAATTTAATTTAATTGCACGATTAGTGAATGATACTAAATTAATCAAATGTTTTATTATCAACATTATATTCTTGATTGGTAAAAGTGACCAGTGTCCTTTTGGGCTCTAAGCTAATCCGATGATCAACAGGTAAAGTATTACAATGGTGAATCCAATTGTTGTCAATGTTAGTTGATTGATTATGTTGATCAGCATAGTAACGATGTTGATTATCATCATCATCATCAAGTTGATTGTGATTAAAATTGTTGTACGTTTGATTAGTTGCCTTAATCACTGGAGGCCAATCATCTTGTAATGATAATTCAGTCTCAATTTGTTGATACAATGGTTTCTTACGTTTCCATTGGATTAACTTTGAACAAAAGTTTAATCCAGTTGAATAATCACTTTGTAAGAAAATGGCTTCCCAAGTATAAGATATACCAAGATTAGCTAATCCCAATGAGAGAAGAGTTAATTTATATTCAATATCGGGTACATCTTTAAACTATTGATTAAAAGAGAGAGAGAGAGATTAAATTAAATCCAGTTAATTTAAAGAGTTACAAATTAAATAGTACAATGAAACAATTTAACTCAGCCAATTGTCATGGAAACAGTTTAATTGAAAAATAAGTTACCCAGTGTAAATTAAATTGCTGTTAATTAACTATTACTTTCATTTTCAAGTATCTCAAGTATTATCATCATGTAAATTGTGAGTTAATTGTTTACTTAATTGTTAATTTATATAATACTTTTCTCTCATAATGTCTCATTAAACAATCAACCAAGTGTAACTATTATCAAAATCATTAGGAAAAAAAATTAAACATTGAGCTACTTTGATATACAAACAAATGTACACACAAACAAATAAACAAGTAAACAAACAATTAGTTAATTTAATTGATGAAAGTAGATCACAGTAATCATATTGGTATAATCAACTGGATTGTATTGTGAGATTTTTTTATTAATTCTTCGAGTAAAATTGTATTAATAATACTTACACCAACATAATCCAATAGGAAACCAGGAGCTGGATAAACGGTAACGATTATAACCAAGGCAAAGTTTAATAATACAACGAATGTGTAAATTTCTGGATTTAATTGTGTGAACAAAAAAAAAAGGGACAGATTAAAAACTTTTAATCGTTGATTAAGTTGATACTTGACACTCACTATTTGTTAGAAAGCTCATTCTAAATGGTGGACCAGAGGCAAAGATGATCGCTGCAATTACATAAGACATTGTGTTGACTGAAAGGATTGTCAATGTCATATGAGATGATTCTGGTCTATGGATTTCGGTTGCATTGAAAACAAATGGCTGGTACCTGGAAATGATAATCAGTTAATTGTTAATCTTGGTTGATTATCAAACAACTAATGATTATGGTTAGTTGTTTGATAATCAACAATGTTTACATTACAATTGAATATGAGAGACTGATCATTTTGTAATTTTATCTTTTGTCAACATTTTATCAATTGATTTGATATTATCACTTAATCGACAGATAAATTGTTTACTTTGATTTCGCTTTTTTTATAATCAACAACAATTAACAATCACTCTTATGATGTTGATGATTACTACTTGTTTTTAATCAGAGCAAACTCCACAATTATTTGATTATTGTCGTTTCAAAGTATTACTGACTGATAATGTCACTCAAATTATTAATAAATTACATTTCTCTTCAATGATTTGTAAATTGTCGTTGATTAAAAACTATTTTCTATGAAAATTAATTGATTATGATAAGTGTTACAAGTGAACTGGATACTTTAAACTGATTAACCAAATTAATTCAAATGAATGTTTGCTTTTCTTGATTTACTTACCAATCTTGTATTAGAAGATATTCCCTAGCAATTAAATAAATAATAATTTGAATGGTCACAAATGAGAAGATTGAAAAAAGTGGACTAAAGTCAAATAGGGAAGGTAAAGGTCGACGTCGGGTTAATCGAGGATAAGCTTTGGTAGTACCAAAAACTAGAGGTGGAAACATGTTGAGTATAATATCAATAAAGACAAATCCACCATCGGATAGTTTAGCACCTTCCCAGAAAAGGATGAGCACTGCTGAGAGAAGGACAAAACAATATGATGCTTGATACTTGAAGGCACCTAAAGTCGCTGCAAGGGTGGCACGTCCCTCGCTTATGAGTATGGGAACACATTCAATGTTTTTCTTGGTATAAGTAAACGGTGATGCAACTGAACTTTCAGCCATCGATAGAGAGATACCACAATTGGCTAATCGTAAGGCACCACAATCATTGGCACCATCTCCACACATGGCTACCTGATGACCTTGTCGCTGAATCTCATCGATAAGGTGTAACTTATGATCGGGTAACATTCGAGCGAAAATTGTCCCTCTATGAACAATTTTCGCTAAAAGGGAACGATCATAAGAGCGAATAAGTTCAAATGATCGACCCTCAATGGACACATGCCATTCACGTTTCTTGATCATTGGTGTTATTATATCATCACCGTATTTCATCTGTGACTCATCAATGTTCAATTTCTCTGAAATTCCAGGTAGTTTAACATATCGATAAAGTGTCTCAAGTGTACCATTATTAATGAGTCGAGCTTCAACTTGAACCACAGAATCAGCTTCATTGATCATACCACAATCACGAGCTACTGAAAGTGCTGTTAATATATTATCACCTGTGGCCATTATTGTTCTGATGCCAACCTCTTTAAGAGCGGTTAAAGTTGGCTCTGTTTCGGGCTTCAATTGATTTTGAAAGACGATTAGTCCATCAAATATCATTGAATGTTCGATTTCTTCTCGAGGCATTTTAACCAATCCCTGTAGATCGACTAAATTGTCGTCAATTATTCGTGAAGCAGCGGCCATGACTCTCATTCCATCGCGTGTGTAACTGGCCAACATTGAATCAAAATCATTTGGAATACTTGACTCAATACAAAAGGTTCGAATCGCTTCTGGTGCTCCTTTCATGAGAACCAAATAAGAATTGGAATGAGCTCGTTTTACAACGACCGCCATTCTTTGTAAGGTAGAATCAAATGGAAATAAACGAATAAGACCAAAGATTAAATCGTTTGGACCATTTTTAAAGCCAATAATTCGATCAGGTAAACGTTCAAAAGCACCGTTTTCATTGACAAAAGTATCATCAAGAAATTCACCTTCAACCGATTCAAACATACGAATCTCTTGTCGATCACCATCGAGCCGTTTATTTCGATGGATTAACGAATGACAATTAGTAAGAATAGCGACCAAATTACCATGACGGTCAAGAGTAGTTAATTTACGCTCAGGCCGAGCAAATAAACCATTGACCGAAGGTATAACACCGGCAATGTCAATACTATCCTCGGTAAGAGTACCCGTTTTATCAAAACAAACCATATCAATGGAACCACCGGCATTGATAAAATTGGTGTCAAGGCAAAAAATTTCCGCCTTGCGAAGGCGTTTTTGAGCATAAGCGTTTATCGAGGTCATCACGGCGGGTAACAACGGTGGAACCAGGAAAGTTGCAATATCGACCACAATGATAATTGTATCATAAAGTGAAGCCTGAAAATTTGTACCCAAAGAAAAAGTGAAAAAAAAGTCAAAACAATTGAAATTATTACAAGACAGTTTTTGGAAATTAAATTTATACATTTCTTTAAATTGTTCATGTTACCCTGTCAACAATTTAATTTAGTCTAATTGTAGATGATAAATAATATTTACAGTTATGATTACCATGATATTAACATGACTACTAACAGGAAATTAAAAGTTTCCAATTTGAATAATTATTTGTTAACTTTGAACTGATTTAATTAAATCTTATTGTTGTTGTTTCCATTGTAAATCAAATCTTAATTACATAATGTAATATATGATAATAATATTAGTAATCTTATTGTATCTTTAATCCCAATGATTAAGTTAATCTTGACGATTATAAAATTGAGATTTAATGAAACATAAGCTTATACGATAATTTAATCATTTAAATCTGATTTAATGGTGATTAATTGTTACATATTAATAGTTTGGAAACACTTATTACAAAATCAAAGAATCTCAAATGACAGATTAAATTAAAATTAGATCAATAGAATCAGTTGATTTGATCGTCAACATGATGATTAGCACCAATTAGATAATCATATTCATATTTAGACTAATGAAGATGGAAAATTAAACAATCAGGATTAACATTTACTCTTTGATTGTGATCAAAAGTTAATCATATTTTTATCAAATATTTAATTGTCATCATAATCATCGTCTACCCACCTTGATGTATTATTATTGATTGTCAATATATTTCGTAATCAAAGTTTTAATCAATCAATAACAATTTACTAAAAAAAGGTCAATCAATTTGTTTGAAATAAAAGTTTTGCTGGTAAAATTTTTTACACTCGAGAATCAATATCATTTGATTAGAAAAACCCACTGAAAGTTTTAATCACGTTTTTAAAACAATCAACTACAATTGCAACTGATTAACATCCAACCTGTTGATTGTTAATTTACGTTGCAATTGTCATAATTAAATTAGGAAAATTTAACTTACCCCAAATGAGACAAATATATATGCAGTATAAGCCATTGAAGGAATACCCAAGATGAAAAAAAGTATCATACATTTAATTAGATCTTGTTTTAATTGGAAATTAACTGGTTTCGGGAATAATATATTTCGTACCAATTCACCTTTGGTTGTTGAATAACCTGTAACAATTAAGAGAGAAAGAGAAATTATTTCAACAATTAAACGTCTTCTATCTGTATTCTAATGTCGATTAATCCAGTTTATATTATTATTAATAAACTTTCCATGTAACTATTGTTAGAAAATAGTAAATATTGTAAAAGTCTAATATCTAACGGTAAATGATTGAAAATGAATGAATTCTTAAATCAATATAATCACTTTTTTTATTATCACTCGATAACTGAATCAATTGTTTGTTGGTTAAATATTGGGATTAAAATAGACTTTTACAATTTAATCTAGAATCTTAATCTTTTTCTGTTTATTATTTTTTTTTGTTGAAAAATTTGCCTTCAGGTCATTTAATCATCAGCGTCTTTAGTTTACAATCGATTTTGATTGAATCAGAATCATAGCCGGAAAAGTTGATTCATATTTTTTCATGTTCATTTGATTATTTTTTTCCCCAATGCCTTCAGGCTATATACGGACACCATGAACATTAATCATGAAATTCAATTGTTGAAAAGAAAATTATATTTGTATTAATATACTTTTCCTATCTCTTTTTAACAATTAGGTTAATTGTTTGGCTAAAGACGAGAAAATTCATTTTGATCAATATTATTGAAATGAAGCTCAACATTCAGTGATGATCCCAAATTATTAATATCGATATGATAAAATGTCACCATGAATATGATGAAGCTGAATTTTAAAGATAATGATTGATTTAAGTTGTTTTCCTAATATTTTACCATTGACAATAATTACTTCATTTGATTGTGATGAGATTAGATTATAATTCAATATTAATTTTCTCAGGAGGATTGATTGTTAGAGGTAAATGTAAATTGTGATGAAGATGAAAATTCTATATAAAATACTAGAGTCAGGGAATGAGAATCTTGTGGAATCAAGTAACTTATACATATTATAATTCATCATCATCATGTTTTGTTCATCCTTGAATAAACTTACCTATTCGAACCACCAAAGCTTTAACATGAATTTTATCTGAAGATGATTGAACATGAATTATCTCAGTTCCACAGAATAGAGTATTTTTCTTGTGGGAGTTTGGTGTATACATTGTATTTGGATCATCGGTTAAGGCCACTTTACTGATCGGCTCTGATTCACCTGTTAACATACTCTCATCGACAGTACATGAGCCCGATAAAAGTACAGCATCACATTCAATGATGAATGAACAATTAGGTGCCAATATAATTATATCACCAGGGACCAATTGGGTTGATGATTTGGAAGCCATGACACCCTCACGAAGTACAACAATCTCCGATTCCGAATGAACTTTTTCTCGAAGAGCCATACTTTGCTTAGAAAAATAAGAGAGAGAGAAAAAAAAATTCCATTATTATTTCTGATTTGATGATTCGATTTCCACATTTTCAGTTGATCAATTAATCTTCTTTGGTCAACAATTAATAGAATTAATTATGGACAATTAAGGAGTATCGTGTTGATCATTTGGTAATAAACTCGTTTCCAAGTAACGTGAATGGTTGAATTTTCAGTGCTCGTGCATGATACTTATCATGACAGAACTTTTCTCTATCTTTATCATTTGTCTTTTCATCACTTTCAATGTGATCAGGGAATTCAATTTCTTTTCAAAAGTTAATCACCATCAACGACTAAATCATTTTCTCAAGCTTAACAATTAACAACTTATCTAACCTGATTAGCTTATAATTAATTTGATTCCATTTACTATAAATCACTATTTTCATTCACTTATTGAAACAAGATGATTTCATGTCATGTAATTTTTTCTTCTTCTTATTTTCTTGATCAATTAATTAGTGACAATCAGTTTAAATCACATGTAAATCAACGTAAACAAACCAATCAGGGTTTAAGCATAAGATTTAATTAGTAATTTAATCAATTGTTTGGTTGTAAATGTAAGCTCTTAATTTTGACTCCAGTTAAAGTTATAACGATCCTAGAGATCACTTTTTGTAATCTTTGTGATAACCAATTCGTGGCTAATTTGATTTACAATTAAGTTAATTTTACGATTTAGATTTAAGCTATTAAAGCAAACAGTCAACAGCAAAATCTTTCAATAAGATAGTGGCTTTGAATGTGTAAATAATTGAATATCTTTTATCCCAGGAAACGGAAATAGAAAAGATGAGAAGTAAATCTTTTCAAACTAAATCATTTTGATCTGTGGTAATTCAATTAAATTTGATTGTTTCAAATAACCATTGAGAGAGAGAGAGAGAGAGATAAATCAACCAAAATTTCAATTTAAATTGTTGAATTTGAATTGAATTAGTTGATTGTCGGTAGAATGAGAAAAAATACCCATGATAACAATTAGAATCACTGGAACCATAACAATTGGTTAACCTGGTTAACAATTTAATCGTAAATGTTGAGCAATAAAAGTGAACAATTAATTTTACTTTCACGAAAAAAAAGGATAAATTATTATTAAATCATTGTTGTTGATTAAATGATAATATTGATTGAGCAATTAAATGTCACCAATAAAAGATTAATGATTTACATAGTGTTGACAATAATCAACAATCAGTCGATTATCGGATCAATCAGAGTAATAAAAAAAGTTTTATCTCTTTGTTTACATGATATGTATTCTTCACCTAATTGTTTATATCCCTTGATTAACCTGATTATCTAGAATCGGTTAATCAGAAGTATTGATTAGTCAGTTAATCAAGTTGACCCACAGATTCAATCGAGCTTGTGTTTTAAATTATTAAATTGGCTTGTAAACAATTAAAACCAACATGAACGCAGATATTTTCTCAATGATTGAATCTGATTACCATGAGTATGAAGCTCATCTTAATGGTCAAGTATCTAAAATTTAGATAACCTTGAATCTGAATAAAGAAAAAAAAGTGATATTGATAATCTGATTTTCATGGAGATGATTATTCAGTGAGAAATTGTTATCACCAATGTTGGAAAATGAATAAACGATTATATTGTGAGAAATGACAACAATGCAATTTAGATTGACTAATACAATCAATTGATTGTGATGGTGATGATCAAACAATTGGATTAAATTGACGATGAAACAAAAAAAAACAGTAATGTAACTCAAATCAGAATAATTTATTCCAATGGTATTCAATCTGATTTTTTCCCCTCAATTATCATAATCTAGTTAAATATTATTGGAATATAAATACTAAGCCAATTCTGAGTATTCCTGTTGAAATATTTCTTCTTGGATAAATAAATATATCATATTATTAAGTTAACCTATCTGCAAGTTGGTCAAGCATCTTAAAGATGATATTATATATTTATGTGATACAAGTAAAGAGTTGTTGAAATGACCATGTCTCAGCTGATGAAACAAAGATGAACAGACAACATACTTGTAATACTTGACCAGAATATTTCTCTCTCTCTCTCTTTCCATCTCATAAATGACCATCATCATCATCATCATCATCATCATCATAATCCCAATTATAATGGTCAGTTTTGATAGAATGTTTTAATTCATGCCTTTTCTTTTTCTTATTCAATGTATTCGTGATAGTAAAGATGAAAAAGTTCTGGTGATAATGAGGTGAACCTAATGGACATGGTTGTCTGGTTGGCTCACGGGAAACATTTACTTGGCCCCTAAAGGAGCTCAAATTATTAAGACAAATGCTTCAATTTCGAGGTGACAAATATATTAATATTTATATACATATTCTCAGTACTTTGAAAAAATGGCAAAAAGAATGATACTTTTTCTTAATATTCTGGTGCTGATACACCCAAATTAGCAAGAACTGGAAAACATGATTATCTTCATGTTAATGGTGATAATTTAACTTCTATTACTATGGTTAAGAGAGAGAAATATTCGTTGAAAAGTTACGTATTATAATGAATACAAGAACTTTGTGACTTGGTGGATTCTTGGATTCTCTTTTTGTTTAATATGATAACAGAAAGTGAATTTTTTCAGAAATTTATATTTACCTTTCTTGTCTCATGAACATGAAGAGCGATTGAAATAATTGAAAACAATAAAACGCATCCAGCAAATTGATAGTAAAGTTGAATCATCCAGACAAGAATAATGAATATCTGGTATACATAAAATGGATTGCTTATCTGTCAGAATATGAGCAAATTATCATGATGATGAAAAAGAAGATGAAAATGAAAAAAAAACAAGATTAGTTACATGATGAATTTTATCAGAATTTCATTGGATATAATTGGATAGGTGATAATGATCACATTAGATCGAGGAAAATGTTTGAATTTTATCAAGAAAATCGTTCAATACATGATGATGATCAATTCTAAGCTCAGTGTTTCCAAACATGTTATTTTTTTCAAACAATCAATAGATTGACAACTAAATTAACTGATAAACAAATTGATTATTTGATTAGATTAGAGTTACAATTACCAGGGAATCATTTTCTCAGTATTCAGAAAATAACCTTCGTTACCAATGGTCAGTGAGTTTAGTATGAGTTTTGTTTCTTGTTTGATTGTATCAATTGCTTTTAATTTAAATGAGAAATTAACTCTCAAATTGTTTAATCACTTTTATGATTATTTAATTATTAATAGACTGATATTGATATTTTCTCCATTTCATCAACTGGATTAGTTAATTGATTAACAAACAAATTGTGCTATTTTTAACCATCACTTTTGATATTAATAGTAAATAAATAATTTAGATTTGAAAGGAAAAAAAATTAACTCATTATTAATCATCTTGTCACGTTGATTAATGAAAATTTACAACAATTAAACTAATTGTATTCTCTACTAGCTATTAATTGATGTATAGTAAGTGTTTATCATGTTAATTGTTGTATAACCAATCTTTTAATTTCCATGATTAACTGTTGATCACTTTGATTGAATGATAATTGATTTGTGGTTGAGTTATAATTAACATGGTTTAGAACTAAAATCAATATTAATTAAGAAAGTTGGAGAAAAACAATCAAAAGTAAATATAATTAGCAGCCAATCTCAGGATATTACATTTTGATAACACAGCAACAATTAACTCATTCACTTGAACAATCAATTTTAATTTGAAAAGAAAAGCTGATTAACTTTATAATGATTAATTCATTTACATTATATTTGGTAATTAATGTTCATTCCAATGGTTATAAAGGTTAACTGGCAATCAATTAAATACAATTAGCAACAATGATTCAAAATCAATCTTCACCATTAACTTAATCATCAAATCCATTATCATTAAATTAACAATCAACATCCTTATTGGTTATAATAATATCAATCAACAATTAAGAAGAAGGTAAAATAAACAAATAATTTGATTTGTGATGAACAAAAAAAAAGTATCGTCTCAACCCTAAGATAATTATCATTATCAATTAATCATGATTAAGTTTTTATTAAGTAATGTAATCAACTAATTACTGCGTAAGAGTCACAATCTAATTGATCCCCTTCTGAAAATATCAAGTAACTGACCAATGAAAATTAGACTTGACTCTTTCTATCAAATGACCACAGGTAATAATAACTTTGAAATGTCATTGTCCATCCACTGAATATACATTATTAAGTAAGTCTTTCAACCTTTCACCTTAGTAAAGGTCAAAAACATAATGGTCATCAAGATAATCCAATTTTATTATTAATAACATTGTATTCAAATGGTAAAGATAATCAAAGATGATAATCTTTTAATCTAACAGGAAATTTGAATGATTATCATGATGATTATCATGTATTAATATATTAATCAATCTGTTAATTGTGTGAATCTCTTACCTGATTTAAGATTAACTTTGTAATTGGCTCAACTTGAATGATAATTGAATTAATCCCATAAAGTGATTGCCTGATTTTTGCATCTGAATTGGTCAATCCTTCACTCATTGAATAGATTGATCCACATTTTTCCTTCTCAAGTCCAGTTAATTTAGTAAATTGACTTAATTCAGGTCTCCATAGATATTTAATCTTCTTATGGTAAAAATATGAAAACTGGGCTCTCTCCTTACGAGAATAATCTGGCTTGACCACTGTTTCAACATACTCTTCACCATAAGAATCCTGATGATGATGATGATGATAAAGTCCAATCACCCATGAATTGAAGCGATGATGATGATGATGGTGATCAGGAAGAAAACAAAACAAGAGAGACACAAAAAAAAGAAATTGATTTAAAATTGTTAATCAATTATCTTAGAATTTTGTGAATAAAATTTACCCTTAGAATAACTTTATCTGCTTGATCAAGTGAACTTCGAGTATGGGTCAGTTTAATTTGATAACTTGGTTCCCAAGTTGTTAACATGACCAAAAAACCGGACGAAAGTAAAGTCGTACACCAGAAAAAAAATGATCTCGTTAATGACCACATATAACCTTCGATGATCATTTCATCATCATCGTCAATGTTTATCCGATCATATGGTGAGGGAGACTTTTTCTTACGAGACATTTTAACTGTGGTCAGTTCACTTGTTGGTGGTAAAGGTTCACGATGAGATTGAATTTCTTCCGGTAAATCAGCTGATGGTGATGATGATGGTGAAAAGTTCATCACACAGAATTTATTATTATTATTATTATTATGACGATGATGATGAAATGCTAGATGAGCACAAACAAAAAGGTAATTCAACTGAAATCCTTAATTGTTGGTTAATTGTTGAGCACTTGAACAAATAATAATAATAGTATCAAAAGAAGGCACAAATTTTGAATCTGAGAAAAGTAATTAACAATAAAATCAAGAAGAGAAATTAAATTGTATCCAAAAATTACATTGAACAATCAAAGTTAATCATAAGCAATCATTGAGAGCATACAAACAAAAAGCCATAATTGGTTTTATAAATTAATCCTTGATTGTAAATTGATGATAATTGATTATTTGCAATAATTAATCAAGTGCAATTAGGGAATTGATACTTTGACAAATTACACTAATAAACTGTTCCTACTAATTAATTGTAAGTTATGGTATATTAATATCTAAAGTTGATCAGTAATTAAAATCAAATTTATTTTCCATCTCAATCTTTTTTTTTTCTTACTGTTATTATTTTATCCTTTGGGGTAGTTTTTTAACCTTTCGAGAAGAAAAGTTCAATGCAATTTCACCGATTGAATCTTGGAAACTAAATGAGAATACTGATTTCTCATGATCCATGGTAATCATATTTTTCCATATTGAGATTTAAACAGAGAAATTGAAGAAATTTTGTCAATATTAGCTTGAAATTTACCGTTACTTTAATTGCCGATCGACTCTCTCTCTCTCTTTTCTTGCTCTTTTTCTTATCCCTCTGATTTAAGATAATAATCAGATGATTTTTGTTTTATTTACTTCTTATCCTCATTAACTATCATCCTTATCATCCTCATTCTCTCATTTAGATACTCTCTCTCTCTCTCTTCTTTTATTACCTTATACTGTTATTCAAGTGCTTTTATATGTAATATTCAACATCAATCCAATTGAATAGTAGACAAATCATATTATTATTATTGTTTATTATTATCATTTGATTGCAACTTATTCTTATCCTGTTTACTCAGAATCATTTCAAATCATCATTATTATCATCATGAATTAACCGGAAATATATTCAATTTGATTTGAGTCGATTAACAATTAATCCCATTGACTGTCTCTCTGTTGATTGTCAAGAGTTGATTGTTACTCTTGTTGTTGTTTTCACCAAAAATTAATGATTGAGGTTAAAAAAGTTCAATGAATAAACTCAGACATTTGATTGTTGCTAGATGATCAATTTGATTGTGTTCTAATCTAATTAATTATCATAATTTAGGAAGAGAGAGAGAAAAAATAAAGTTATAATTGAACTAATAAAAAATCATCTGATGATAACTCGCTTTCAATTAAATATAATGTATTTATCGTAATTGTATTACCATTGATTGGCAATGACATTTGATTGTTTGGTGTTAATTATAATTACGGAAATAAGATCAACTCACTTGAGAGATTGAATCAAAAATTGATCATCAACTTGTATGATTAAATTTGTGACAATAATCAAAATTTAATGAGATGATGATGATGGAAGGTGATTTACAAATGAGATGATGATGAAAATGACCAACAGAAAATAATAGTTTCCAATATATAAAGTTCTGAATTAGCTTGATGACCAATATATTTTCCTGATAACATATTGGTTTTATTAGATTGTCAACTAATCACTAGGTTGTTGATTAAGACACAATTAATTGATTGTGAACAGAAACAGGACACGAAAAACATTTATATCCTCAGTGTAAACGATAATCACAACAGAATTGGACAACTTTGCCCTTTAATTAGTTGGCTGATTGTCACCGAACTAATAGAGAAGACAGAAAATCTCTTTAATTGTTGCAACTTGTTGATGATATTAAAAGGAAAATCAATTCAAATTGTTAATCATAATGATGAGAATCAATTTAATCACATAATAGTAATAATAATCACCAAGACAACTTGTTGATCTCTAATTGAGTCTCTTACTCTCTATTTTTGTTTCCCTTTACAATCCAATGCAATCAAAACTGATTAATCTTGATTACCATGGTTTTCCTCCTTTTCCATCAACATTTTCATCTTCATATTCATCATCTTTATCATCCTCATCGTCTTAACTGTAAGACTGAGAAAGTAAAAAAAAAACTAGTTACTTTGCCTCTCCCAATGAGATCTGTTGAGTCTTTTCAATGATTATTATCATCATTGTGAATTTGTGGTTAGTTTTTTTTTTGCTGTCTCTCTCAAGGATTTTTCATCCAACCACAATTTCCACCATGATTATCATGAGGATTAGGACATTTTCATAATAACAATCTAGCATCGGAAAGTGTCACACACAAGTAAATCTAGACTGTGGTGGTGATTAATCCAAGATGCTTATCACATACGATTGAGTCAATCAAAATCTAACTGATTGTAATTGTGATTAGAAACAATTATAATAATTGCTGTCCAACAGGTAGTTTTAACCTTGTCTTGGGTTTTTGATTAACACTCGATGATAAATGGTCTTATACAATTTAATTGCTTCACATGATGGATTACAATTAGTTGGAAAACTGTTTCATAATCGTAATGTTTTAATTGTTTTAGGTGAAACAAAAAATTATCTTGATGTTGACAAAATCACACAGTCACAATGAAACTGTTGCTTATCATGATGACTGTTGTTGTTGTTGTTGTTGTTACTGTAACGAAAGGTTGACAATCAATGATGTTAACTGGTTAACAACAATTAAGGTTTAATTGTTGTTCTGGTTGTGATTATAATGATAAACCAGACAAAACTATTGAAATAACCGAGTGGTTAACAAGTGTAAAAGAAAATAGAAATGAGAAAATTTCTAAACTTCATGGAAAATAATGAAAAGTTTCAAGCAAAGGAAAACTTGATAAGAGAAGGGAAAAAGTTGATTTAACCTTGGTTGATTAACGCGATTGCAACAATCAACTAATTCTAAACCCACTACCTAACTAACAATCAGTCAACATCAATGATCAACGACGTAATGATTACGATCTTGTTTTTCGCTGTTGATGTTGAATACAATTCGCTTCGTTAAGAATGGAAGTTTATTTTTCTCATTCTCATTTCTTTAACCATAACCAATCAAATCTAATACGATGATGACAATTTGAATGAAATTATCAACGAAAAAATCAAGAGACAGAGATGATAAGAGGCCAGGATATCAAAAGGGATCATGATGATGATAACGAAGAGAAAAATTCAATTCTAATAAACGATTAGCTCTTGTGATTGTAATAATTAAGTGACAATCGAAACCACAACTATTACAACAATGAAACAGTTAATTTCTGCGGGAAAAGTTTCGTCTTGATTTTTGATAAAATTCAACAACAATTAAAACTCAACTATGATGATGTGATTGATTTTTCCCCCCTTTCTATTGTAAATTCAGGATATTATTTGATTGAGATTTTCGTTGATTTGATTGATTAAAAGCTAAAGAAAAATAAATAAGTTCTGATGGTATAAGGTTGCTCTCAACTTACTCTTTACGATGTAACAATTTGATGACAAAGAAACAATATTGATCAGTTATTAATATCCTATTCCGATTAATTGTTGATTGAACTAAGATTTCTCGTCGATTACAATTATCTTATCATGTTTCAAGTATCATGATTACATTGATCTTTATGTGCTCGTTAAATGTTATTGGATTTTTGTTGTTTCCTTTGCTTCTTCCTGATTATCGTTTTCATCATTTAGTTTCAAAAACTTATTGAATTACTTAGATTGTGACCTAATAATATTGGTACCGAAAAAAAATAATAATAATGATAACTTTATAATCTCTTTCATGAAATCGAAAAGTTCTAGTGGTCATCTTATTGCCTAAGGTCAGAAGATTGGAAATGAAAACCATTGTGATGGTCATTCATGTGTGTACATATATTAATGTTGATCAAAAGTAATGGTCATTTAAAGGTCAACATGGATGTTCAGACTTTCCTGTTGATTTTTGATTGTTAAAATGGATTGAAAAAAAATTAGATTCACTTAAATTAATCTTGTTCCCTTGTTAATTGTAGTATCTTATCATTCACTAAATCAACCAGATTTCTGATTAAATTAACATCAAGGGATAAGTTGATTTAGCAATTACTTGAAAAAAATATAATAATAAATTTGATGATAATGAAACTTGATTATATTCAATGATACTTAACAATTTAATCATATCGTATTTATGGTAATCGAAAGCAATTGTTTCAAATATTTCATCTTGAGTGATTTACATGCAAATAAAAAAGGATTTAATTGTAATTTAACAAAAGAAAACTTAATCACAATAGATTTAAATTAATGATTTACATTATCTACCAAACAATAACATGTAACATAATTTTAATCACTCATTAAACTGCCAATTAACCTTTAAAATGACATATTCTAATTGTTGGTGATTTATGATTAGTTTAATAGGAAATACTATCAATTGAATCAAAGAGCAAAACAATATTCAAGTTTCATCACAATGTTTACTTTTCCATTCTCATGATGATGATGACCAACATCACCTCATCAAGTTTCATTTTATATTCTAACTAATGATGATAATGATAAGATAGGCGACAATGAGTATGAGCATAAATTGAATATGAACAATCATGAAAATCTCTTTAACTGAATCACCATGAAAGAGGAAGAAAAGATTCAGGATAAAGAAAAAAAAATACTCTCTTCTCAACTTCCTTCCTCTCCTTTTCACTTTCAGTATTCAATCTTTCCACTCTCTCACTTCATCCTTCTTATCCACACCTTATCTCTTTGCCCCCCCAGGGAAACAGTATTAACATTCAGGTAAACATATTCCAGTTAATCAGTTAGATGAACAGAATCGACTTAATTTCGTTACCAAATGACCTCAACAAACCAAAGACCGAAGAGAAAAACTTTCTCTCTCTCTCTTATGAATCCTATTATTTGTTTCTCTTCACTTGGTAACAATAATGATAAGTGATGAAGATGAGAAAAAAATTCATTTGATAAAATGAGATTTTTGTTCTGATCTTTTGTTGTCCATCGATTAAGTTGACGTAGTGAAAAAAAATCCCGTTATCATTTTATTCCCTGTTAACTATTGATATTATACTTTGATGATATAATAAATTACACTCCCTGAGGATGGATTGGTCAACTGAGAGGTATCTTTCTTGACCATCCAAGGAAAACTGGTCTAGATGATGAGTAATGATAATAAGAATTGAAATGAATAGTTGAATGTAAATATTGTCATCTGTATCATCATTTTCATCAATGGTCAAGTATATTAAATATTTACACGTTAAAGAGACTTGATTTTTTGACTCAGACAACTGACCAATCAATATTTCACCATGAATATGAATGATGAGATTATTTTGTCTTTTGTATTCACCTTGTCTCCCCTGTGCTCTTTTTTTTCATGATGAAATATTTTCATCATCATGAAGACAAATGACGATAATGATAATACTTCCACAGGTCGCTGGATCAGCTTCTGAATCATGGGAATTGTCCATTTCTATCAAGAACTTTTTCCCTTTCTTTCAATGGTCAATCTTGTTGCTTTTTTCTCTCCAAAATCAGAACATCATGAAAAATGAAATCATCATGATTGGTGAACTTGATCTGATTCGGATGTTTCATTTAACAAGCTCATTTATATTAAAATCAAGTTTACAATATTTTCTCTGTTACCTTATATCATGTTCTGTGAACTTTCCTGATGATTCTGAGGAACAGGTTGACCAGTTGAAAGTAATTCGAGATAAATAAAAAAACTTTTCTTTTTTCAATCTCGAACTGACTTTTGGAATAAGGTAAAGAAATGATGACTATTATGATGATAAGAATTTTCTCTTCCTTTCTGCCGAATATGAAATTTAGAAAGTTTTCTCATGGTTCCATGATGGAGATAATATCATCTTCATGAATAAAATGTATTCTCTTTTTTTTGTCACATCCCAGAAGTCTAACGATTATATGATCAATTTGAATAGGAAATTGATGAAAACATGGAGATTGAAAATTCACTTAAGTTACTTGTTAGAAAACAAAATCAATATTGAGATTTAAATGAATTTGATTGTTAAAAATTATTCCTTTTCTTTCTTCCTGTTCTCTTTACAGATCAATCAATTGATGCATTGATAATGAGACTGAATAATGTTTATCATCATCATCATCATGCTCATCTGAGTACACAAGAGATGGAGAAAAGAAAATGATAATTTTGATTATTGAATAAGTTTCCAAACAAAGTTTATACTTTCAGGGTGAAAATTGGGAATGAGTTTCAGTTGAAATATTTTTCACCATAATTTTGTTTTCACCATCAAATTGACTCAAGAATATGATGTTGATTATCATGTTGATGATGAATGAATGGAAGATAAAAATTGATTTTCATTCTAATAGATAACACATTGATGGAAAATTGTTTTCTTCTCATCTACAATTAAACTAAATTGTCGATTGAATTTACGTGACTCCAACATCTCATCAACGATATAACAATTTCACCATCATATTTAATCAGCCCTTTTTTTAGATGGTCGTTGATTATAATCAACACCATACATTGGGTTCACTTATTTCAAGTCGATTGTTATTATAAATGTTACAATTCATCGTCATTATCATGGTGATTGAATGAGTACCTTGAATTTCATTTCTTGTTGACGAAGTGAAAAGTTTTCTGGGAGAAGAAAAAAAGTTTTCGAAACTTTTTTTTCATAGCTTCTTTCAGAATTCACCCAAAATTCATGATCACGTACAATTTGATTGAACTAAATATTACAAATGATGATGAACATCATTATTATTATGATGATGATGGTGATAAAGTTAAGATGAGTTGAGAAAATGTTTCGAGTCTTTTTCCATGAATAACTTTCAAGCTATCATGATCAAGTGATACAACTATTATATAACTTTATCCTTAATATTCAGACCAGAATTAGTTTCTTCAACATGATGACCATTCATAAAGTCTTATAGTTGAGTTGGTACCTGGTGGTCATCATCATCATGGATAAATGAACAGTAATGATAAATTCAACTGTAGTATTGAGTGTCGATTCAGTTTTATGTTTTCAGAATTTTTCTTTCTTTTCTCATTTGATTAACTTTCATTTATTTATAGCAATTAATAAATTGTTGACCAAACAACCAGACAATCAGATTGTAATCTTGAACTGTTTATTGCTGTTGATTGTTACGCTTTAAATGGTTATAATTTATTGTGATAAATGGGACAAGATGGAAATACATATTGAAAAAGAAACAATCAAGAAAATTGATGATTTACAATTGATGACAATTAATGTAATGGAAACAGATAATTTTCTGATTGATGTTAACAATTATTCAATGGCTTGAATTTTATTTCATAACAATCATCATGATTATATATCGATGATGATGATGATAGTGATAATAATAATAGTAATATTGAACAGATTTAATCAGTTATCATGATAATTATCATGAAAATGAAAATAGAAACGCTTTCATTAAATATCATATCACTGATGGCTGAGAAACGATTATAATAATAAGTATTAAAAGTGAGAGGAAACTTTTTAGAATTTAAAAGAAATTAAAAGAATAAAATGAAAGATTGGAAATATGATATTCATCATGCTCACCATCATCATCATCATCATGTTTTCGTCATGAAAGGGGAAAAGGTAAACATATAGTTCAGAGTAAAAGTCTGAATCAGTGAAGATGAATGAGCCTGAAGATTGCGCAGTTTCAATTGTGAACAAAATTGTCTCTCAAAATTTATCATCACTATTGTATCGGTGAAAGTTAACGGAACAGGTTAAAAACCAACAAGTTAATCAACGACAATCAACTAATAGGAAGGAAAAAAATCACTAATCTAAATCATCATCATCGTAACAACATTTAATCAACAACAGAAACAACAGTTATCTAAAGTTATATACTAGTTTTCCTCAATTACTATTAGATTTTGACTTGGATTTTTGTTTTAATTGTTGTTTTATCTTATAATTTAAGTTAAATATACATCTTATCAAAATTGATTGTAATTAACAACCAATTAGTTTGTTGGTTAACATGATGATGCCAAATCGATTGACAAACTTACCAACCAGCAGCATGATCCTTTTCTGGATAACAATTATCTCAATCATTGTTCAAGGTAAGTTAATTTAGAAATTAATTTGATAAAATAATTATCATTATCATTAACTTTAAATACTCTCAATTGAACAATTAGAACTTGGTTCTGTTTAAATTTTTTTTTCTCTCTCGTTTCTGTCTCGAAAAACTTTTCTCTCTATTGTTTTTGATGATAATAATGATTATTGTTTGTATATTGAATTCATCGAATTACTATCTTTACATTTGGTTAGAACTTTTTATTTTACTCCTTTTGTTCAGAGATGAGAAGAAAAAAAATTCTCAACTTTGGAAACAAAAATTTTTCTCTTCTTTCACAAAAATATTATCTTCATCATCATTATCATGAGGTATTCATAGTATAATAAAATGATAACGGTTCTTTTTTTTTGGTTAACATTCATCTCATCATATTAAAAACCTATTGTGTGTCTTGTTGGTCTGAAAGTCTTTGGTAGTATTATCATTATATGAGTTAAATTACTGGAGAGAAATATAAATATGACAAAAATAGAGGAGAAACTTTTATTTCTCTCTGTCTTTTAACAGTTCTAATAACATTTTCTTTATCAGAATTCATTGGATAAAATTAAGTTAAATGATTAGAATTAAGTATTTTTCTTCCTTTTCTGGGTATTTGTTAGATTCTAATGATAATTGTAATAAATGAGCAGACAGAGGAGAGTCACAATTGAATTGATGTTGATGATTTGATCCGAATATGATCAAAGAAGATGATGAGGATGATGATGGAGAGGAAGAGGTGATGGTGAGTATGATTCAGTTATTTGAAATAATATCATTAGTACCTATATATGTATATATATATATATGATTTCCAAGCACAGGCTATTATAAAAGTGGCTTCCGTTTCCGATTCTGATTCTTGAGCTCTTTCAGTCTCAATGGATCTGAGTGTAGTGGATATTTACTGGATTATGATTTGATTAGATTTACAAATGAATATTTGGTTTTAGACTCGATCAGCACAAATTCACTTGGTTATCCAACAACATTTAATCAACTAAAAGTTAATCATTATAATGAATTCTGACCAGAATTAGTTTAATCATTTAGAATTGGGATAGAGGTAGAAATAGACTAACATGAGAATTGAATAATGTTGATTAGATTAATCAAGACTGAACAAGCTGATTGCTTATATTTACTCTTAATTTACTAACTATTGATTTCACAAATTGGGAGAATCGAGAAAAAAAACTTTTAAAATCAACTCTTTCATTTGCTTAATTGGTCTCGAGTAATTTAAGATCAACTTTACAATTAGAATGAGAATTAGTTTTTGTTTCGAGAATTGTCTTGATGATAATCTACTCGTGTGTACATCTCATGAGAGATAATGTCTCTGATTGTTTATCCTTTTAAGTCTTTGGAAATGAAAAAGTTCAAAGACTAATGAAATGAAGATCAGGATATCAAATACTAATCAATTATTATCATCATGATTATTGGAACAACTCAATTAAGATTAGGGTGAGTTGAACAATGGGAGAAAAAGAAGAGAAAAAGCAAAAAAAAATAACAGAAATTGAGGCCAAACAAGATGATGAACATGAGATGAAGATGTGGAAGAGGAAGAGGAAGACGAGGATAAAGATGAGCTATCGATGTAAGAAGAGATGTTGATAGAAAAGGGGAAAAAGAAATATTCGAATCTTAGAACTTGGATTAATGTTAGATAATAATATAAGTATCTTTCGCCATTGTATCAATGAGAAAACTAAATGTATTGAATGATATTATTTCACAAGATACAAGTTGAAAAGTTCTGATTCAAATTGATCGGTTTCAATTTACCAAACAAGTGAAAACTTATGAAACTTTTGACCATTGATGTTTCATCAGAATTTTTCTTCATCAGGGTAAACTGACCCATGAAATTCATCCCACCAACTATTCAGAATCATTGTTAATCCAGCTAATAACAACATCTAATTGTTTCAGACTTAATCTCGACAAATTGATTATTATAACATTATCGCTGTTAAATGGCTACTAAATTAACTTTGATTGTCTTTGGTTGAACTGGATTAGTTTAACCTTAACTATTAATTTATCTTTGGTTAATCCTGTTGATCAGTGTAACAAAAACATAACAATCACCGGTATCAGGGTTAATTGCTATCAACTTAATTAACTCCAATGATTTTGGTGATCATTATCAAAAAGGAAAATCAAAATCAAATATCAATATAATCTGATTGTCGTCAATATATCAGATAAATTGATCTTGTTGATTATCAATGATTATCCTTTTTATTTTTATGAAATCTCGTGAAAAGTTTAAACATTGATCATGATTTATTTTCGGGACTTAATTGTTGATCTATTTTTTATTATCTTATTTATTGGAAATCAACTTAGATGATAAATTGACTGAAATAACTTAGTCTATGTGAATACAATGATAGAGCATCTAAATCTGATTGATTGTTTCAATTAATAATTAATTATCATGGTTACAATCACACTGGTCAATTGGTCAACATTAACTAGTTAAATATCACAATTTACATCATGGTAAAAGATATCAAGATGATTACTTTTGATATCCTCAGAATTAATCATCTAAATGATTAATAACAATTGTCTTTAATAGTAATTGTTGTCTCAATGATTAATTCTACCAATTAGCTTAACCATTAACTGTAATGATAATATTATTAGTTGATGAAACAGGAAGAGGTCAATGTTATTATTAATTGTAACAATTTAAGCTACTGATTAATATCATGTATTGGTAAAGTGGATTAGCCAAATTGACAATTAACAGTCAATGAATTGTAAGGTCATTGGTGTTTTGATAAGAATCAGTTAATTGCCTGAGTTGGCTAATTATTTTAACAATTTGATTACAGTTCAACCAACTTAATTCAATGATAATCAAAGTTTATCCAACAATTAGACCTTTATTTTCATTTACAAGTTAAATTGTTCATTCAGATCTTTGTTAAGTTAATTTTGATATAAATATCAGAATTTAATTACCAAGTAAAAACTTTTTGCCTCAGGGTTTAAATACTCAATCAATTGTAACCATATAATCAATTTTTAAATCCAATTGAATAACTAAATTAATTATTAACTAATGGAATAAATAATTAATAGTAAACTGTTAGTGATTCGTATTGTTAATATTTAATATACTGTTTATTGTCTAGCCTTTGATTTACAAGTTAAATTGTTAATCAACGTTTTTCTCGTCCTCATTTGAATTAATTATCAACAATCAACAGGTCTAATCAATTCTAATTGATTGATTGAAAATGCATGAAACATTGAAAATATTGACCTCTGGTCTTAATTAACAATGAAGATTTGAACAATCAACGATTTACATTAATATAAATTGAATTACCAAAAGTGTTCATTGATTAACTTTAAGCATGAAAAGTTAATGATAATTATGATTTTAATACTAATTGTCAAGGATTAATTTGAAGCCATTAAAGTTGTTTGATTGTAATAATAATATTGTTTATTTTTTTTCGTTCAATGTGAATACTAATTGTTAACAATTTAGCATCACTGTTGCCTCTTGCCGATGACGAAACCGACAAAAGGACGAGTCACAATATTATGAGATTCGGACGTCAAGCTGGACATAATATATTGAGGTTCGGACGGACTCCAGGTCACAATATAATGAGATTTGGTAAACGGGAGGAATCAAATTCAGCACCAGGTAGCTCATTTGAGATGATCAGTGACTCTAAACCAATTTCATTTCTCAATGATTACCAAAGGTCCGGTTATAATCATTATGGACTTTTTGACCCACCCTCATCCTCATCATCATCTTTAATACCTTTCAATATATTAATTAATGATAATAATAATAATAATAATAATATTAATGATAATAATATCGATAATCTTAATAGTAACAACAATGGATTTGATATAAATACATCTTACCTGCCCATTGGATACTATGGACAGCCCTCACCATTAAATCCACTGTATGTATTGACCATTATGTTTAAATCAATTAATTGAACAGTTAATTGTTTATCAAGAGTACAATTTGATAGCCAATTTAATTTAGTTTATATTCATCTTTTTCCCCTTTTCTATCTTTATCATCATCATTATCATCATCATCAAGAAATCTTGCCCAACGGTCACTACCTTACCAACAAGCTAAAAAAGGACGACCTGAAACTGATCATGTAATTATGCGATTTGGTTAAATCATCATAATCATTTAATTATAATCACCAAAATCAGCAAATTGTTATTCATCGTCATCATCATCCTCATCATCATTAAACATCAATACAATCAAGCAACAATCTCAATCGTAATATGATCTAATTTAAATTACCAAGACAAACTGACTGATGACTTTTATGTGAACTATCAAAAAAAAAATCAACAATCAAAAAAAAGAGATTAAAAAAAATTAAGAGAGAGATAATCAATCTTAATCCGGTTCCACTTTAAATCATCAAGTGAATGAGTGTGTGAGTGAGATAAAAACTAAAAGCAATCAACGAGATTTACTCTAAATGAATTGAAATTAACCGCAACCTTAATTATTAGTAAACAATTAACTTTTTTCCCCCTTTCAAATGAACAATCAAAATATTATAAAAAATCTTAATTATGATAATGTTTTAATGATAATTATGAACACAATCAAATGTCAAACTGACCAAACACCGTCCTTTTGATTTGATCTGATCCTTTTTAACAACAATTAACATTGATAATCCAATCGTTTTAATTTAACTCGTAAAAAAACAGTTGATTCAATTTCCTTGATTATTAATCAATCTATTTATTTACTAATTATTTCCTCATATGAGCCATTACCTTTCAAGCCCAATTCTTAATTGTAACTTTCTCTCACTCGCTTTCCCTGTGATAATCTAATCGTATTGACAATTATCATTGAAACTTTTTATTACCCTTAACATTTAATTGCGTTTCAATTGTCATTGATTAACAGTCTAATTCATTCACCCAACATCATCATCATCATCATCATGCTCTTGACTTTTAATTAACTATTACTTTTGATTCAATTTCGATCACATTTTCTCATTAACATTCATTATAAGAGATTATCCAAAGTTCTAATCTGACGAAACAATAACAATTCGAAGAAAAAGTTTTTTCTTCTTCTTCGAAAAGTCTGATCTTCTAAATCTCATAGAGAAAAGTTTCATTTCCTGTAATCTTTCATTCTTATTCCTTGAAAGTTCATTCTCATCTCATCTCATCTTCTCTTCTTCTTCTTCTTCCTTCATCATCTTTCCTCATCAATTCTATTATATTTTTAATCTTATCCCGTTATCTTCATCCTCTTTAATCGAGTTTTCAAATTCTATGTTCGAGTTTTTCTATTCTAATATTATTGTTACTTAAATTTAAATGATTTTGTTCATTTTCCTTGTAACATTTTATCAGAATCATATATATAATTATCTTAATCATAAAATCATGACAATAATCAAGAGAAATTAAATAATTGAGTCAATCGAATCACACTTCAAGTGATAACAAAATTAGATTGAAATCAAGTATATTAGAATTAACCAGTTGATAAACTTAAATTGTTATTCGTCTTGTTAAACAAAAACAAAATTAACTCTCTAATCACTAAGCAAGAAATGAATCAATTAATTGTTCTAATGATAAATAATTTGTTAAAATGAAAGTCTAATTGTTGCAAAAAGAATTTTTGAAAAAACAAATTAACTTGTCGTTTAAATTGTTCAACTAAAATGCGGGAAAAAAAAGACTGAACTTCTCGGGAACGGATAATCGCAATGCGAAAATAATAACAGGAAATACTCAAATCGAAACATCGAAACTCGTAGATCATGTTACGTGTTAGTCTCTCGATTATTGATGAATAAAAATGTTCGTCAATTAAGTTCATCATTCAATGATTTTCGAGAAAACAAAAAGTATCCAAACTAAAAAGGCCAACGACATTATTTGTCAACTCGAAAGTTGAATATTACATGACACAAATTCATCTTGACGATTGAATTTCAACCGAAAGTCACTAAAGTTAAAGGGAAGATAAATATAAGAAAGTGGGTGGAAAGAGAATAATAAATTATAAATTCTATGGAGAATTTCAAGTTAAATTGAAATACTCATGATAAGATAATCATAGACGAACCTTATTAAATTATTGTAACTTTTTCTCGGTGAGTAAGCATATTGTTATCATTATGATAACTTTCATTGTTATCATCATCTTTTTAGCATCTCTCGTTTCCATAACGTATCATTATTGTTTTCATCATCTTCTTGGTGTGGCATCATATCCATATAACTCAATGAATATTGTTCAATTTTCCTCTTCAAATTGTAATACAAATTAAGTTCGTGCCCATGATAACCCAAGGTGAGAATTCAGTTTAAAATAATAAATTGAAAATTGTTGTTGTTGACCGAAAGGATAATCAACTTACATGATAGAATTTTTTTTTGTTGATCAAAGGTAATTTTTGGTGCTTTTCTTTATGAAAAAAATTCATCATGAATTTCAATAAGGTTTCTTTGGATAACATTTCATTTGTATTCAATAAAAGAAAAATATAAGCATTGAAATACTAATAATGAGTTAGCCATGAAAGTTAACTTTCACTTTTCACTTTTCATTCTGTTTCTCTATTATTCTCTCTCTTTATCCATGATAATTATGTAAAGGTAAGTTTTCTCTTCCCTCAAAATCATCGTGAAAGTAAAAGGTTAATCCATTACCAAATTGGTGGTAAATCCATGAGTGTGTGTTAAGAGAAGAGGGAATCAGATTTAGAGGCCGAGAGATTCAATTGAGATGTGACAACATAGAGAAACAATAAAGAGAGAGAGAGAAATAGATGAGCCTTTGACCCAGAAACCGAAAATTGTCCAACTTTTTTTTCTTCTCTCTCAGATAACAATTAATTTTGAGTCTTCCCTGAAATGAGACAGTTGATCAGAAGAGATGATATGGAAGAAGAAAAAAAGAGAAAAATTAAGAAAAAAGAGAAAAAAAAGAGAAAAATATTAGAGCTTTTAAAGATTCCTGAGAATCTGAGATGATCAATTGGTGGGAAAAAGAAAGAGAAGAAAGAAAGAGAGAGAGAGAGAGAGAGAGAGAGAGAGAGAGAGAGAGAGAGAAAGGATGGGAAAGATGAAAGAGAAAAGATAAATTTCAACAATTAGAAAAATAAATCTTGATTTGTTTGACTATTATCACCAGAATCAGAGGATTAGTTTGATTCTTATGGCACAGAAAAGACATTGAAGAGATGGTAAGAAAATCTCTTCACTTTCTGTTTTTTTGTTACTTATCAAGATGATGATGAAGATGATGATGATGATTAGAGGTTTGAAATTGATAAAGAGGTAAAATTAGTTAGATGATGACATTGAACAAGACATTTCGATTCAGGCTTCGTTTCAAAGTCCCTCGTAAGGTTTGGGTTCCGATAACATTTTGGAATCTTTTATCTGTAGATTTATAATTTATAGAGAGAGAGAGAGAGAAAGGATGGGAAAGATGAAAGAGAAAAGATAAATTTCAACAATTAGAAAAATAAATCTTGATTTGTTTGACTATTATCACCAGAATCAGAGGATTAGTTTGATTCTTATGGCACAGAAAAGACATTGAAGAGATGGTAAGAAAATCTCTTCACTTTCTGTTTTTTTGTTACTTATCAAGATGATGATGAAGATGATGATGATGATTAGAGGTTTGAAATTGATAAAGAGGTAAAATTAGTTAGATGATGACATTGAACAAGACATTTCGATTCAGGCTTCGTTTCAAAGTCCCTCGTAAGGTTTGGGTTCCCGATAACATTTTGGAATCTTTTATCTGTAGATTTATAATTTATACGAGAGAGAGAGGGAGAGAAAGAGAGGAAAACACAAAGAGAGAGAGAGAAAAAAAGAAAATAAAAAGAGACAATTATTCAAGGTAACTTTTGAAGAGAAAAGATCTTAAAATTAATTAAGATCATGGGGATGTATATTCTTTCCACTTATGTATTTTGTTAGATTAATTGAAAATCAAAATTAATGATCACAAAGAGAAAGTTACGTTAGAGTAAATTTTAACATTTCTTGTTTTCTGATCGAACCAAGAAAAGTGTTAGATGTGTGTGGCGGTGTGTAATTTATATATGTTTTGTGGGAAGTGTATGTGATTTGAGTGTGTAAGTAATTTACAAAATGCGCTGATTAATCCATAATAATCACCATTGAACTCCGGTGTATTCAGGAGGTAAGGCTGGTCCTTCCATAGGCTGTTCTTCACTGGCTGAGCTTTCACAATTTTTACATGAACTTTCACTATCACCTTGGCTTGGACCTAAAGTGTAAAGTAATTGGTTTGATTAAAGAGTTATTAAAGATTCATTTTTGGAACAGATTAAGTTGATTTCTTACATTCTTCCTTGTCATATGAATTTCTAGAGTTTTCATTTGATTGATCATTTTCTGGTGGACTGTGTCTTTCTTTCACCGGTGATATCAATTTAGTTGGACTGATTGGATTTTCTTCTTTTAAAAGTCGCTCTTTTCGCTTCTCTTTGTCCAAATCGTCGACTACCATCACTTTCCTAGATTTACTTCGAGATCTGCTACGACTACGTTTTCGTGATTTATCCTTGTCTTTGTCTCGCTCTTTATCACGATCACGATCACGATCTCTATCTCGCTCTCGATCTCTGTCGCGATCTCTATCTCGCTCACGGTCACGGTCCCGATCTCGGTCTCGGTCTCTGTCGCGATCTCGGTCTTTGTCTCTGTCACGGTCACGTTCCCGCTCACCATTTCTGTCACGATCTTTTTCTTTAGATTCTGAGGAGAAAATTTAAGAAAGTTGATAAGTTAGAAAATGTTTACAATTTAAAAGAAAATATTTAAACACAATCGGGTTTGCACTTACTTTCTGGTCGATCTCTATCTCGACTGGATCTTTTCCTTTCCTTGTCTCGGTCTTTTTCTTTGTCCCGATCCCTATCTCGATCTCTTTCACGATCCCTGTCCCTAGAAGATGGAAAATAGAAATAGAATCAAAACATAATCTTAATTCATTAATTCTGTAAAAAGAAAAGCGGGAACTTACCTCGTATAAAATGAATCACGTTCTCTGCTTTTCCTTCGAGATCTTTCTCGGTCGACTCCTCGACGTCGATGTCTCCTTTCCCTTGATCTTGATCTCGATTTCATATCCCTGGTTCTTGAATGTCTTCTTTCCCTAGATCGAGAACGTTTCTTCTCTCTTGACCTTGATCGCCAAGAGCGTCGAGATCTTTCCCTAGATCTGGACCTTCGAGTTCGACTACGAGATCTTCGTACTCTTGATCGAGATCTACTTCTATCACGAGTTTTAGATTTAGAACGTGACCGTGATCGAGATTTTTCTTTCATTTCAGGTTTATTCTCGTCTACTTCCATCTTCTCAAGTTTAACATTGTAAGTTGGCTCAATCGCGGCTGAGATCAATGATTGAGCTTCCCTTACCCTTTTCATAGCTTCCTCAATTTCCTTCTGAGCAGCTTCATTACTTTTAGCTTGAGGTTTAACTATGGCATTGTTTGAATGGTTTATCTTTAAAGCTCTACCTCCAAGAATAACACCATTATACTGTAAAGCATTGGCCACTGAAGATTGTTCAGTAAATTCAACAAAAGCAAACCTTGTTGGTTGTGCCTCATCACCCGCCATACGAACATATTTAACCTCTCCAAGGCGATTGAAAAAGTTTAACAGTTGCTCAGCAGTTATGGTTGAATCAAGATTACCAACATAAACAGTTCTCCTGATCTCTTCTATTTTAGATGGATCCATATTGGCTGGTAAGGGTGGATATTGAGGAAGACCAAGAGCAGTCAATCGAGGATCAATTGTGGTAATAATTTGTTCTCCTTTTACTCCAAGAACAACTTGACTAACAATACCCGAATTTGAACCTCCAAGACCGGCATTTGATGTTAAACTAAGAGCTGTAGTCTCATCTGGTATTTTATTATCTGTAACCGGCAAGACAATAAGCGCACGATCAATGAAAACGGTATTGGTCAAATGTTGAGCAACCCCAGTACACCAAGGCTCGCAATACTTAATGTAACACACTTTAGATCCTTGGTTACTTGATAGATCACTGGAAGAAAAGAAAAGAACAAAAGTCAGATTGATTAACAATTTACAGGTCAAGGGTAAATATTCAAGTAGACAAACTACTTATACAGATATAAAGTGATTGGAACCGCCACCAACCAAAAGAATAAGGTTTAACCAAAATTTGACCGGTTATACCAAAGATAAAGATTGAAAAGTGAAATAAATTGTGGTTAACTTACTTTTTCGGATAAACTTGAACCTCCTTAATTTGACCAATGTAACCAAAAAGTGTGGTCATTTGTTCCAGTGTAACACTTGGAGCAATATTGGTAATTTGGATAACACAAGTTTCCGAGCCCATTGTCATATCTAATATATATATAAAATATTTAGATAGAGAGAGAAAAATAATAAAATAACAAAAAAACAGAAAAAATCACTCAACTCAAATGTCTTCTTCAAACTCACAAACTCTAAATATAAATATTAAGATGAATCACTCACAATGTTTTAAAACTAATTGTTACGAGTTAATCAAGAGTAAACCATAATTGAAGATTTACTACTTTAATTAATTATAGAATAAATAAAAAGGTAAATGAAAACAAATTGTTAATCATTAACAAAACAATTTAACAATCCAATCAACATGCGTCCTCACAAAGGGAAACCGAAACAAAACCGGATAAATATTTTCTATTCTTTTATGAAGTATAGATGGCGCTGAGAACCAAGAAGAAAAATTCTCTTTTCAAATGAATAGAATTTAATTAAATCGATCAATTAATTGATCAATTAAATGTTACAATTTAATTCCACTTGAAAATTTGACAAAATTTGGTCGATTTAACTGTGATTAACTGATTAATATTCTTCTTCTTCTTCTGAGTTATCTTGGAATTCATTTGGTTGGAATTTTGTAAATTAGTCAACGTTCCCTTTTTCTGTTTACTTTTTGTCTTGACTTTTTTGATTTTTTTTTCGTTAAAATGTTTCCTCACTTTTTAATTAATCTCAGTGATCTAATTAAATATCCTCAACGATAAATTTGATTTAAAGGTAGGTTATTAGTTGATTTCGATTGTTTTAGTTTGACTAATTTCTCTTTTTTTCTTTATTCGCACAGATTCATCCATTTATGTTCATCTATTTGAGACTCTCTTTTTCTTAGAATGTTGTTACCATGTGACCATCAAAATACCCTTGAAAGTTAACAAGCAAAAGAATTGATCAACCTTGTTAATTTCTTAACTATTTTTCTCTTCTTCTTCATTATCAATCACCCTATTCTGATTGACTTTTAGTTTGGAGTTATTGACTATTTATTTTCATCAGTAATTTGGTGTACTAATTACTGATTGGAAAGTGTGTCTGTTTTTGTTTCTCTCTCTCTCTCTTTCTTTCTCTGGTGATCCTTTTTTTGAGATTGTTTGATTCTCTCCGGTTACAGGATAAATTAAGATGAGCTCATTACTCAAAGGATCAAGGAAATTACTTCTTGGAATTGGTCTAGCTGGTGCTGGAGCCGCTGTTTGGGCGATTATGGGAGGCAGTGAAGACAAAGCTTTCATCAAAGCATCAGCATTTTATGATCATTATATTAACAATCCAAGATATTTCTATGAGCCACCAGTTACTCATAAATGGGACTTTAATTGGGATCGTAGACAATCTGATACCCTTATGAAAACATTGGAAGGTAAATTTCGTGCCGAAGATGATAAACAATCATCACAAGAGAAACTACAAAAAGCCAAAGTAACAGCAAGTCGACATTTATTATTTATCCGACATGGTCAGTATACATTAAATGGTAAAACTGACGAGGAAAGATCATTAACTGAACTTGGTCGACAACAGGCCTACCTTGCTGCTCAAAGATTAAAGGAATTAAATCTTCCCTATTCACAAATTGTTCAATCAACAATGACCCGGGCCAAACAAACAGCTCAAATAATTTGTAAAGAATTACCTGATGTACCTGTTTCTAGTAGTGATCTACTTCGTGAAGGATTACCCATCTTACCAGAACCTTCAAATAATAAAGAGATAAACAATGTAAGAGCTTTTACCGATGGTCCAAGGATTGAGGCAGCTTTTCGTAGATACTTTTATCGTGCAACACCCGATCAAAAGGTGGACAGTTACGAGATATTTGTTTGCCATGCAAATGTCATTCGTTATTTTGTCTGTAGAGCATTACAATTACCTCCAGAAGCATGGTTACGGTTTTCTCTTCACAATTGTAGTTTAACCTGGATCGCAATTCGTCCCAGTGGTCGAGTAACTGTTTATACTGTCGGTGATTGTGGTTTCATTCCCCAAGGCAAACTCACAACCACCTAACCAATATAACTACCAAACCAGATGAAGCAAATAATATTATTAGTAAATGCTACAAATATATACCTGCAAAAGTCATCCAATTAAAGAAAATGATGATTGCTGATATAAATACACGAAACAAATTTATCTTTTGTATTATAGACTCTGTTGGTTCTCAACTCTTTCTCTGTCTGTCTCTCTCTCTCTCACACACATATATACAACATAAACACCAATCAAAAAATTCTCACGAAAAATTCATCGCCTTCATCATTTTGGTTAATCATCTCAACTCTAATCTTCATTTGATTTATTCGTTTCTCTATTATCAAAGCCAACTAATAATTCCATGATTCTTTGTGATATAATTTTCTTTTCTTCTTCTTAGAGAATCAACAATATTCTAGATTAGCTCAAGCAAATTGATTCTAAATTTTCTTCTCCAAAAAAAAATGATGTCAAAATTTGTCAAATTGTTTCCTTTTTGCTTGATTGATATTTTTCCCAATTTCTCTCTCCTTAGTCTTGTTAACTAAATAATTTTTCTCCTCTTCATGTAAACATTTAGATTTGAATTTATGAAGGTAAAGAAAACACAAATTTATCATTATAAAAGGTAAACAATTTGTTCACAGGTTTTAATTGTTTCAAAAGAAACGTTTTAACTGATCCCTCTGCTAACAATTAACACGATTACGTTGGAGGTAAGTTGAATAAACGATTCAATAACTAGTCCTCATGAAGGTAAACACCATTTTATTTCTAGAAAATGTTGAAATGTTATTGTCTCTCCCATCAGAGAGATTAAAACACCGAACAAGGTTAAATCAAATCTTTTTAGTTACATTATGTTAAATCCACACGGTTGATGAACCAAAATGATTTGAACAATTAAAACGAATCAACAGAAAACGATTCTATCTGTCAGCCAGTCAAATCTATTCGGTGGTAGATTGATATAATCTTCAGTCAATTGTTTGAATATCGAGAGCCAACATCATCTTCTTGATGAAAAGAAAAGACAAACGGAAGGTCAACATATGATTCTTTTCGATATATCGAAGATCAATAATCGATGTTCGATGTCAGATGTTTTCTTTTTCTAATTTTATTTGATTTCCTTTTTTTTCATTCGCAATTGTAATTGTCTCTCTCGATTTTTCTTTGTTAATTAATTGTACACAATTAAAGTGATTTAGGTGATTGGCTTGTTGATTGTCCTCTGGACTATTCTCTTGATTAAATTGTTCACAACAATTGGATTGATTCTTTACTTTATCTTCACCATTTTCAACTCAAAGTGTTTCTACCGGTAAATTTGTTTCTCAATCTTTTCTTTTCATTTTTCTAACCTGATTATTGTTGATTTAATTTACTTCCTCTATTGTTGAATTACACCTCAATCCCATATATTTTCATCTCCAAGATTAATATAAATCAGTCAACAATATGCCTCTTCCAAGTTTCATCATCATGAATGGTTCCAATTTCCTCCGATCTACTAATCGTCTCAACAGTTTTACAAGAAATTATCCAACTAATGTTCAACGAGCAGTTCATCAAGCCGAATTATCAAAAATTCTGATCGCTAATCGAGGTGAAATCAGCTGTAGGATTGCAAGAACAGCTAAACGAATGGGACTATTAACAACTGCAGTTTACTCTAACATGGATAGAGATTCGATGCATGTTTACTTGGCTGATGAAGCAATTAACTTGGGAGATTCACCATCAGCTGGTAGTTATCTTAATAAAGTTAAACTGATTGAAGCAGCTAAAAGATGCGGAGCTCAGGCAATTCATCCTGGTTATGGTTTTCTCTCTGAGAATCCTGAATTTGCTGATATGGTTAATTCATCTGGACTTATATTCATTGGTCCACCGGCATCAGCCATACGTGATATGGGAATTAAATCAATTGCCAAACATATTATGTCTCATGCTGGAGTACCGGTAATTCCTGGTTACCATGGGGAAGATCAAAGTGATCAATTATTACTATCAGAGGCTGAGAAAATTGGTTTCCCCATAATGATAAAAGCAATTAAAGGAGGTGGTGGTAAAGGAATGAGAATCTGTTTAGCTAAAGAGGATTTTATAACTCAACTTGAATCAGCGAGACGAGAATCACTTAAATCTTTTGGTGATCAATCGGTTCTAATTGAAAAGTATGTTGCTAATCCTCGTCATGTTGAGGTACAGGTATTTGCCGATCAACATGGTGACTGTGTTTACCTGTTTGAGAGAGATTGTTCAGTCCAACGAAGACACCAGAAGATTATTGAAGAGGCACCAGGACCAGGAATTGACGATGAAACTCGATCAGAATTGGGTAAAGCCGCTGTTCGAGCTGCTCAAGCGGTTAACTATGTTGGTGCTGGAACTGTTGAATTTATTTACGATCCTAAAGATGGTAAATTTTATTTCATGGAAATGAACACTCGAATTCAAGTTGAACATCCGGTTACTGAGATGATAACTCGAGTGGATCTGGTTGAATGGCAAATACGAGTAGCTCGTGGTGAGACTTTACCCAAATATCAAGAAGAGATTAAACTTCATGGACATTCAATGGAGGCCAGAATTTACGCTGAAGATCCTGAGAATAATTTTATGCCCGGAGCAGGTAAACTGGGGCAAATTAAGTTACCTGAACATGAAGAAAATGTAAGAATTGAAATGGGAGTTCGAAGTGGTGATGAAGTTTCCGTTCATTATGATCCAATGATCGCAAAACTTGTTGTTTGGGCTCCAGATCGAAATTCAGCTTTAATGAAACTTCGTTCATCGTTAAGTAAATTCAATTTATCGGGTTTGAAAACAAACATCAATTTCCTTCATCGTTTAGCATCACATCCAGAATTTGCTGCTGGTCGAGTTCACACCGATTTCATCAAAGAACAAGAGTCAACTTTGTTTACTAAAACCGAATTACCTTCAAAGTTGATTAACATCACCGCCATCGGTGTATTTGCTTCATCAGCTGCATCATCGTCGATTTCATCTTTACCCACCAATGTGTTCAGTCCACTGGTGACCGATGCCTTCAGGTTACACCAAACGATGACCTCACAAAAAACATTCACTCTCCTTTACAATGATGAAAAATACTCTGCTGTGGTCAAGCAACATGGACCAAATGAATACTCAGTTTCACTTAATGGATCACCTTTTGTTACACTTGAGGCTAATTACGATTCATTGACCAACTCATTAAGGGTCAATGAAGATGGATTAACTCAGAATTACAAATTTCTTAAATCATCTTCAAGTCAGGTTGCCTTGTTCACTTCGGATAAAGGTGGTTACAATTTCGAGCTGGAAACCAAACCTCATTATCGGTCAACCGGATCAACTGAATCTTCCGATGGAGCTGCTGGTGTTGTCGCTCCAATGCCCGGTGTTATCGAGAAAATTTTGGTCTCCAAAGGTGATACAGTCGAAACGGGAACACCGTTGGTCGTTATGATGGCTATGAAAATGGAATATATAATTAAAGCAAAGGTCAAATCGAAAGTGGAAAGGATCATGTTCAAAGCGGGTGAAAATGTTCAAAAAGGTTCACGATTAGTTAAATTGGTGAATCTAGACGATAATCAATGATGAGGTTGATTAATTGTGAAAAACTATTCTACCCAAATGAACTTTTCATTAATTAATTTCTATCAATTTATATTTTTGGTGATTTAAAAATGGTGATCTTAGACAATCTGATACCCTTATGAAAACATTGGAAGGTAAATTTCGTGCCGAAGATGATAAACAATCATCACAAGAGAAACTACAAAAAGCCAAAGTAACAGCAAGTCGACATTTATTATTTATCCGACATGGTCAGTATACATTAAATGGTAAAACTGACGAGGAAAGATCATTAACTGAACTTGGTCGACAACAGGCCTACCTTGCTGCTCAAAGATTAAAGGAATTAAATCTTCCCTATTCACAAATTGTTCAATCAACAATGACCCGGGCCAAACAAACAGCTCAAATAATTTGTAAAGAATTACCTGATGTACCTGTTTCTAGTAGTGATCTACTTCGTGAAGGATTACCCATCTTACCAGAACCTTCAAATAATAAAGAGATAAACAATGTAAGAGCTTTTACCGATGGTCCAAGGATTGAGGCAGCTTTTCGTAGATACTTTTATCGTGCAACACCCGATCAAAAGGTGGACAGTTACGAGATATTTGTTTGCCATGCAAATGTCATTCGTTATTTTGTCTGTAGAGCATTACAATTACCTCCAGAAGCATGGTTACGGTTTTCTCTTCACAATTGTAGTTTAACCTGGATCGCAATTCGTCCCAGTGGTCGAGTAACTGTTTATACTGTCGGTGATTGTGGTTTCATTCCCCAAGGCAAACTCACAACCACCTAACCAATATAACTACCAAACCAGATGAAGCAAATAATATTATTAGTAAATGCTACAAATACAGGTAATGATAAATGAAGGTAAAGAAAACACAAATTTATCATTATAAAAGGTAAACAATTTGTTCACAGGTTTTAATTGTTTCACAAAAGAAACGTTTTAACTGATCCCTCTGCTAACAATTAACACGATTACGTTGGAGGTAAGTTGAATAAACGATTCAATAACTAGTCCTCATGAAGGTAAACACCATTTTATTTCTAGAAAATGTTGAAATGTTATTGTCTCTCCCATCAGAGAGATTAAAACACCGAACAAGGTTAAATCAAATCTTTTTAGTTACATTATGTTAAATCCACACGGTTGATGAACCAAAATGATTTGTACAATTAAAAGCGAATCAACAGAAAACGATTCTATTTGTCATCCAGTCAAATCTATTCGGTGGTAGATTGATATAATCTTCAGTCAATTGTTTGAATATCGAGAGCCAACATCATCTTCTTGATGAAAAGAAAAGTCAATTAATTATCGAGGTAATTGCATTAAAATGGTTAATCCAATCAGCGGTACTTTGATTATCTGCTTTTTTCCTTCTTAATAATCAGTCATAATAAACATTTTGTCAAGTTACTTTCTCTCTCTCTCCTTGTCTTGTTTGTTAAATTGTGAATGAAGATTGTGATTCCGGTTAAATGATTATCTCTTCATCACGACGATTAAGTTGATGATAATTCTGATTTATGAGTGTTAATGGTTTCACCTAAATGATGATGGTATTGATATAAAAAGATGATGATTAGGTATTGTTGGTGATGATGACAGACATGTTTCGGTCACTCAATATTTAGTGATTCAGTCAAAAGCCAAGATAATTAATTCTGTAGAGGAGATCAATCAGTCGTTAAGTTTTCTATTAATATAAAGAAAAGAGGGAGAAATAAAATTGATTGTTAGATGAGTAATTACGATTTGAATTTCGATTATACAAAAAAAATTAGAAATCGTTCTTACCTTTTGATTATATTTGAACATATCATCAGATTATTCTTATTATTGGTCTAAGAAACAATCAGATCGGAATGGATATTTACTAATTAAGTATTTGAACGTCAAGTATTTGAGGTAATTTGATGAGTTATCAACAAGGAAAAACAATAAGAAATTAACCATCTCGCCGCCGCTGCCGCCGGTGATCAAAGTCTTTCGTTCTCGATTTAAGTGACAATTATTTTCCTTGATGATTCCAGTGGAAAATATAATCAGAAATCAATGAAATGGGCTAATTCTGGTGGAATTAAAATACCCTGTTGAGAAGCGTGTCGTTTAAGTTCATCAAATTTATCTCGAATCTCTTCAATTTCTTGTCTCAAATTGTAAACATTTTCCTTTACTCTTAGAACATCCTCTTCGACCAGCATTTTATCACCTTCCAGTCCACCTTTAACCTCTAATCTTTTATTACGACAAGAAGCAGCATAACCACGATTCTTAAGTGTACGTCGTCGTTGTTTCATTCGAATAATTTCTTGTTTAGATAGACCAGAGTTTTTCAATTGTCGATTAAGTTCACGAACAGAAAGAGTAACCAAATCATCATCAGATATTATCTGTCCAGGAATTGGTCCAGCTCCATGTAAAGATGAGGTAATAGCACTTGCAGAAGAAGATGAATCACTTATACTAGTAATGGAACAATTAACACCATCCATCTCCATTGATTCCTCATTTGAAACTAAATCAAAGTCATCATCATCATCTGAGGAAAGACTTAATTTCTTCTCCTGTTTGAGGTTACCTTTTTTCTTCAAATGTGTTCCTTCCTTGGCCCGCATGGTTTTTCACCGTAATAGTATTAATAGTATATCACAAGATAAATCAATCTATTAACAGGTAAACTATTGTTAGACTAGTGGGTAATCCAAAGAGTAGAGAAAGAAAGAAAGAAAAGGAAACAAAAGAAAGGAAAGAAAGAGACAAGACAACGATAGAGATAAAAGCAACAACAGTGAGAGAAAAACAGAAACCAACAGGTAACCAAAGCAATAGAATAAGCAGAAAATAAAAAGGCCAGAAAAAGTAAAGATCAGGGAAACCGAAGACGATCAATCAATATAATGTTTTACTTTGATTGTTGAAGCAAAACAAAATAGAAACCAAGAGAGATGATTATTGAATCCGCTGAATCACAGTGACAAAGCAAAAAAGAAGCTGAAAAAAAAGGAAAGAAACAAAAATGAAAACATTAGGAAACATGATGATTGAGTTGATTAGTTGATTCATTATTCAAGATTCTCCGGTGAATTAAGGATACACACAGAGGTTAAATACACCTTAACTAACCTGTTTCAAAATGGATTGGAAAGGTAAATCTGCTTATGAAATCAATTGTTTCTCATTTTGATTGAGAAAAATAATTTAACAGGAACAAAAGAAAACAAAACAACTTTTCTGTTGATAATATAGAGAGAAAATATTAAAATGTCACTTGTGTTGTTTTTGGAGGAGAAAAAGAAAACTAATTCTTTGTTTACATTTTGTAAATCTAGTTTTCTTTTATTCAATTAGATTATTCATCTAATTGTTGAGGAAATTTAAATGGCCAATTGGTCGGGGTAAAGGTAATTCTATTCAATATTGTTCGTCTTCAGGTTTGTCGCTTGAATATTAACCTCTAAATAAGAGGTCACCTTGAAAAGGGTTGTTTACAATTCCCGTTTGGTTAAGTCTTTTAATCTTAATTGATTTTGTTGGAAGGTTAATTTAGTTAGGAGGGCAAGTTGAACTTTTCTTTCACAATTGATTGTTAATTAGCCTGGAAAAGGGTGATTTCTTTGAGTCTATTTGAAGACCGTTATGATGGATTTTAAGTATCGGTGGAAAATCATTTAGATTAATTTTTCAATCTATTGATAATATGATCTGATTAACATCATTTTTAAATTGAATTTCTATTGATTACAATTGATTAGAATTTCTGTTTGATTGGGTTGAAGTTTGAGTGTCCGAATGGCTTTTAAAAGTCCGAAGTATTGGTGAACATTTGATTCGTTGGGTTTCCGATTTTGTTTTCCCTGGTTTTAGGTGATGAGGATCAACAATTTAAAAGTTCAGGTTTAAACCATAAGCCTAAAAATTATTTATTTAACTGAACATTGAATCGATCTAATTACAATTGAATTTAACCAGCTCGTTTTTTTTCAATCCAAAGTGGTTAACAATATATAGTATTATTTTTTTTCTGCTTCTTTAACGGGTTAGGGTAAATGGTGTAGATGTAATTTAAATCCAATTGACTTGAAAACATTTAAATGAGTTAAATGTTGAAAGATAGTGAGATGAACTTGATGTCCCAAATTTTTGCTAAATAGTAAAGGAGAAAATTCTAATGATGCCCAATTTCAGGATGATGTTCATAACGTTTCGGAACACTGGGAAATAGGGTATTTATAAATTGAATGGTAAAAGGGATTCCATTTTCACGATAACCACCAAAGTATCTAACATCAACACAAACCCAGACGATGGTAGCAAACATAACTTTCTTCATTACTTTGTGTATTGGATTAAAAAACCATTCAGGCTCAGCGAAAGGATTAGGCCCAGCCCGAGGGAAAGTGTTTCTTGAGATACGATCACCACCATGAGCAAAACGAGTAATCATATTTCGAGCAGCAGAAGGATTGTGTTTAAGAAGATTCGAATAAACCCTGAGAGCACTCATGTTGCCGGATGAAACTGCAAGCAAACAAAGAACAAAAAAAGAACAATTAATTAATTCCACAACAAAAAATTGAATTCCAATTAGAAAACAATTCAATTGGATGAAGAAAAAATTGATTCAAGAAAAAAAGATGAAGACAAACGGAAGGTCAACATATGATTCTTTTCGATATATCGAAGATCAATAATCGATGTTCGATGTCAGATGTTTTCTTTTTCTCATTTGATTTGATTTCCTTTTTTTTTCATTCGCAATTGTAATTGTCTCTCTCGATTTTTCTTTGTTAATTAATTGTACACAATTAAAGTGATTTAGGTGATTGGCTTGTTGATTGTCCTCTGGACTATTCTCTTGATTAAATTGTTCACAACAATTGGATTGATTCTTTACTTTATCTTCACCATTTTCAACTCAAAGTGTTTCTACCGGTAAATTTGTTTCTCAATCTTTTCTTTTCATTTTTCTAACCTGATTATTGTTGATTTAATTTACTTCCTCTATTGTTGAATTACACCTCAATCCCATATCTTGATTACAATTAATTAATATTTTTCTTGTTTTTTTCCTGTGATCTTTTGTTTTTATCATGTTTCACATTTTCTATTGATGCGAAAAACATTTCCACCTGATCTCAAGGATCTGACATTTGGGTTGATTTGAGTTTCCATTTCTCATTGGTTAATGTTGTTAATTATGCTGATCAATATTGTCATTTATCTTATGGAATTTTAATTCTACGCTCTTGATTTAATCTTTTATGAATCTTTTTTTACACCAAGGAACATGTTCTACAACCTTTGTCCAAATGGTAAACTTAGTTTACAAAGCTTCATCTATTCATTAAGTGTTTTTCCTGTCATCTTATTACTCTTCTCAATATCAACCTTTAATGATTTATTTAATCAATTATGGGCCATCCCTTATGTGGCATTAATCATAATAGTACAACTAATTTGTTACTTCATTTATTCCCAAGTAAACTATGATTACCAAGTAAGTATTTTCTGTCAATTGTTACCATAGACTTTGTTTCTTATTCTATTTGATTTTTATTTCCAGATAATTTGGCGGTCAACTTTACTTGGATCTATTTTCGGCCTAAGTTTGGCTTATTGTTCAATTGTTCCAATTCATTGGATTCCATTTTTTCTATTTCTGACCATTGTCAGCTTATTCCATTTCTCTGAGTACTTAGCCATAGCAATAACTAAACCCAATTCGGTTAAGATTGAATCTTTCATGTTAAATCACAGTGTTGCCTATCATACAGCCATGATAACTGCAGTCGGCGAATATTTCATTGAACTTCATTTCTCAACTTCTATCAAGTCTAATATTTACATTATGATTGTCGGATTGGTTATGTGTTTAGTTGGCGATGCTCTTCGTAAATTGGCCATTCTGACCGCAAGAACAAACTTTGATCACACAATTCAAACAAGAAGATCAAGAGATCACGTTCTGGTTACTCACGGTGTTTACTCTTGGTCTCGACATCCAGCTTATGTTGGATGGTTTTGGTGGGCTATTGGAACTCAGGTAATTATCAAATTGGGCTAATTTTAAATCAAAGACAAGCCTTACAAATTTCTAATTGTATATTTTTTCTTGTGTATTTTTGTTTTTAGGTTTTATTGGCCAATCCAGTTTGCCTTGTTGTTTACATCGTTGTTACTTGGAAATTTTTTTATGAACGAATTCGTGATGAGGAAATGTTGCTGGTAGACTTTTTTGGACTAGAATATATCGAATACCAAAGAAAAGTACCCACTCGACTTCCATTCATTTCTGGATACCCATTTGGTGAATGAAATTAAACCAAAAAATAAGATGCCAATCAAAACCTACAATTACAAACATATCATTAACTCAGACTCATCACTCAAGTCATCAAACATCAATAGTACATCAATTTATTTCTCAATCAAATTGACTAACACAAATGAAAATCATCAGTATGGAAAAGAAATCAAAATCATCAATCGATGAGAGAGAGACTGATAATTGAAAACATAAAATTGATCTATTATATATATAAAAGTGAGAAACAAGTTTTCGCAACTTATATTATTAATACTTTCTCAAAATAGATCTTAATTAGATAACTAAATAAACTTAAATAGCGATTGTTAATTCATTCACAAGGAAATAACTTTTACAAACAATCAGCTATTTGTGTGAGAAAAAAGGTATTTACATTAAACTGTCACAATGGTGAAGAAATAATCACAATAATTAAATTGAATTGTGATTTCAGAACATAATTCCGGTATATCTCCAAAACAATTGATATTCAATTAATCATAACATTTTAAATCTCATTAATTGTGAATAAAGTAAACACAATAATTCAAAAATCCATGGTAACCAATGTGAAGCTCAAAACAAAACAAATTGATTGTTAACCATTGAATTTAATCTTGAAACAATTAATTTAACCACTCAACAGTCAATCATGTCAACAAATCAAGTAAATGTTGATAGTAAATTGATTAAATCAACTCAAGACATTTTAAGTAAAATAATTAAGAAACCAATTCTAACCGAGAAGTTGTTAAAACGACCTCCATTTAAATTTCTTCATGATATCATCATAAACGTAAGTTGAATCATCTAATTGTTAATTACCAACAATCAGTAATCTGATCAACCTACAGATATAATTTTCACTTAATTGTTCACCTTTTTTTTGCAAATATATGAATTTTCTTACCTTTAATGATGATATTTTAATCTTAATTCAGTCAACAATTGATCTCATGATAATGAAATTTGTTTCTCTCCTTTTGATTCAGGTTATTAGTTCAACTGGTTACATGAAGGATTCATTTAATTCCGATGATCTTAATCAATCAATTCAGAAAGATAAAGAAGGCAAAATTGATTTTCTTCAGAAAGTAATTGACATTGTCGGTAAGAATTGTTTACAATTAGCGAATAACAATTAAAAATCAAAGTGTGAAAGGACAATCTTTGGTTTCATCCTCCATTATCCTAAGATTTTAGATGATCAATCAATCAGTAATGATTAGAATCTTTAATTTAATTCTGTTGGTTTAATTTCTGTGTTCAGGTTCAACATTAGGTAAGCCCGTTGATGTGAAGGCAGCTAAAATTGTCGCTGGTCTTGAACCTGATAAAACTAATCAGTTCCTTCAATTACTCGGTAAAGCAGCGATTGTCTCAACTCGTGGTGGTAAAAAAGACTCACCATCAACAACAGTAACCAAATCAACTGTTAAAAGTGTAAACAGTAAAACAATTAATCGACCAGGTAAAAAGTCAACACCATCGGCCGTTAATAGTAATCAATCAGGATCAATTGGATCGAAAGGTAAAAAATCCTCGACAAATGATGGCAAAACTGAACAATCAATTGGTAAAAATACTAATCAACTAAATTCTCGAGAAAATTCAGCAATTAAAGAAATTAAAACCCCAGCTAATAGTAGACCAGGTAGTTATCGAACCAGAGGATTAGGTGATGTTAATGATGATCAAGATGAAAAAGATCAAAATGATAATCATAATGAAAATTTTGATAATGAATTAAGAGATAAAATTAATTCTGCAAAAAGTGTTGTTGATTCTTCAAATTTAATTACTAATCAAAGTTCATTAATCACGGAAAATGATGATGATGAAATGATGAAACCGGAAGATAATCAGTCAGTTAATGCTCCAGGTGAAACAATTACGTCCGTAGATGAATCTTCAACTGATTTACCTCGAAAAGGTATGTTAACAATTCATTCATTGTTGATTAACTTTCTCTCCCAATTAACAATTAACAATCAACAATCAACAACAACAACAACAAATGATTATTCTCATTATATTTTTTTTTTACATTCGTTTGATGTTGATTGTTGGTCACAGACAATCTTAATTATACACCAATCCTGATTAATGTGAACGATGAATGATCATGATTAAGATGATTAGGAACAGAAAAATTAAATTGTTAAGGTTAATCATCAAGTAGATAAACGTGATTCTAACTAAATTGGCTTCCGGTTAGAATTGTGATTATCATTGACAAAAAAAGTTGCAGAACAAAATTAAATAAATTGCCAACGGGGAGAAAAATTAATTCTATAATTAAAATTGTAATAGTAGTTAATTGTTTCTATTAGCTTTTCAATCGTAATCAATTCAATTATCCTTTGTAAAGTGTAGCAATTTAAATATTAGACTCGGATCATTAGTCTAATCAGTTGTAATCAATTTCAATATTATCATTTATTTATATTTACATGTAAATCTAATTCAAATGTTTCAATTGATTGTAACAATTAGAGATTTACAATTGTAATCAAAGTGTCTCCTTACAATTAACTTGTTAAACATTTTATCCTCAATTGTTTTCTAATAACCAGATTTTTGATTAACTTTTAAATTGTTTGATTTACTTGAATCACGAATCATCTGCTTGATAAAATTAAATGGACGAGTTCAAGTTGATTGTTTCAAATTACAATTTAATTTTTGTTTATGTTAACAAATTTTGATTAATCAAACAGTTAATTTAAATGGGTAATTACTTGATTATTGAAAAAATAAAACCAAATTACTATTGAATATGATTAATTTATGTAAGTGAAAAAAAGTATACACTCTCAATCCAGTTAATTGATCAATTAAATGATAAACATGTAATTTTCTTGGTACAACAACAATCAATTTAATTGTTTATTGTTGATGAATGACACAATTTTTATTTCAATTGCAATTTAACCGTTTACATGATTAACTTATTCAAATTTGATTCGTTTGTTAATTGATTATTTTTTCCTCTCTCTCGATTTGATCAGGTCTTCCTCAATTAATGGTTCGTCCACCAACAGGAACCACCATATCTCATACACCCAGGTCACCACGGCCCAGTGCTCGTCCCACTACAGCGAGAGCGGCTCCACCTAAAGTGGTCACTAAACGTGAACTAATGGACTCGCCGAGTATTGACCAATCGAGAATATTATCTTCATCAGAACCGGTGGAAAATTTGATTACAGAAAAGGTTCGACCAGGTACAAGTGCTGGTGGACGAAAAAGTGTACTTAGGGGTGGAAATAAAAGTGCCCTTGGTGGTGGTGGTGGTGGTGGAGAGAGAAGTGATCAAGATGAAGATGAAGATGAAGATGCCATGTTTATAGTTCAAGAGGTTAAAGACGATCTTGCAAGTACCATTGAGTCGAGTGTTTTGTTACAAGGTCATTCGATTGGTGTCACCGAAGAGGACAAGTCAAAGGGTAGTTTGGTTAAACAGTTAATCGAAACCAAAGTAGCTTTGGAAGGTAATAATCAAACCGATGGACAATTGAATGTGACCAATGGTCATCTATCCAATGTTTTGGCTTCCCGTGATATCAACAAGTTAAGGGAAAACATTCAACGGTTAACCCAACTGGCCACACCATTAGGTCGGATTTTGGACTATCTTCAGGAAGATATTAATTCAATTGTTACTGAACTTCGAGGTTGGGTTGATGAACATTCAAAGAATATGATTAAATTGCAAGAAGAGAAAAGTTCAATCGATACTCACTTAGAACCATTTCGAATACAGTTAGAACATTTGGACAGTGATATTAGTCGACTTTACGAAAGCATCTCAATCAGAAAAGCAGCAATTCTCAGGAATGAAGAAAAAATCGAGAGAATAATTAAAATGGTTGTAGAAAAATCCAACTAATTGTCGGAACAGATTCGAATCTCATCTCATTAATTGTGATTATTATTATTAAACTTTCAGAAAAAAGATGAAAATTGTTCGATCTATTAAAAGAAAATTGAAAGTTAATTGTTTGGTAGAAAAAGAAATGTAAAAATCTTTATTAAGAATTTAATTTTTATGAGATGTTGGTGATTAATACATCATCTTAGATTGAGTTTTAATCAATCATCGTTTAATTTTTCGGAACATTGAAAATTAAACCGATTGAATGTTTGATTTGAATTAACAAATTGTACACAAAAATTTGATGGTGATTAAAATAATTTCTGAGTAAAACTAAGAGTATTGGTCATTTAACAGGAAGATAAATGATGAGAAATTCACACAGGTAGAGAAAAAAAGTTAATCTGAATTCGTTTGGAAGAAAAAAAATTTTCAACACTTGGCAATTTGTTAACAAATTCTGTTAATTATTTGATTGGTTTTCCAGTGATTTATGAACGATATTGATTCCATCTTCTTGAAGAGACGGCGTATCTTGATCGTTGTTGTTGTTTTGGCAGTTCTTGGGAATAGTAAACTGAACTTGGCTCGTAATCTGGTTCCTCATCGGTAGTTTGGACTACTGGAGGTGGGATTGGCTGGGGAGCGGGTCTCTGTTGGTAAGATGATTTCATTTAGATTATTGTGACTCTTGATTCGGTAAATATACTTACTCGTGGTGAAGTTTTACTTGGTCGTCTAACTGGAGCTGGAGCTGGAGCGGGTTGGTATGAGGGAACTGGAGCTGGAGCTGGAACTGGTCGGTAAGCTGGAGCTGGGGCTGGTTGTTGGACTGGTCTGTATGATGGGACTTGAGCAGGTGAGGGTGGACGGTAAACTGGGGCTGGCCGAGGGATGGGACGTGGAGCTGCTGGTGCAGGAGGTCGGTAAGCTGGGGCTGGTCGGGGAGCTTGTGGTGGGGAAACCTTTCCACTTGGTCGTGGAGCAGGAGCTGGGGCTGGGGCAGGAAGGGCAGGGAGTGCTGGTTGAACTTGTTCTTGGTAGTCTGGTTGTTGTGGACCTTCAAAGTCAGTAGTTTGGTCAGTTGCTCCTGAACCGTAATTTGGACCTTGTACTTGAGGTCGTGGAGCTGGGATTGGTCGTTGGACTGGGGCTGGTCGTGGAAGGGGTCGTGGAGCTAATGAGCAAAAATATATTAATCAGAATAAAGTTTTGAGCAATATTTTAACCGAAGAAAAAAAAACACTCTTACCTCCGCTGACAACTGGTCGTTGAGGAATTGGTCTGTTAGCGGCTGGTGGTGGTGGTCGAGGACGAGGAGCTGGTTGAGAGCCAGGAGCGGGTTCAGCACCAGGTTTTCCTAAATGATTAAAGAATAATTCAAATTAGTTAGCAAAGTTTGAAGAGAATGAAATTGGAGATTTGAAGGAGTAATAAGATTTTAAATTGTTACCTAATTCTTCATTGGCATTGTAGAAATTTGGTGAAGCTGAACAATCAACGTTCTGAGGATGATCACAGGATAAAATTTCTTGATTGAACATAGTTCCAGTTCCACAGAGGAAAGATTCTTTTCGACCGTTGAAACACATATGATAAACGGAACAAGCGACTTCCATGTCAGCGTACATTCCTGGATCATAAGGTTTACCATCACAAGTGAAACTAGTTTGAGGTACTAGTGCTGGTGGTTCAGGTCCCGCTTCACCTTCGACAGAATTGGGAGCTGGGGCTCGTTCACCTTCTTGGATTTGTTGAGATCCAGTTGAAGTTGATCCATCATAACCTCGATCTTGTTGCTGTTGTTGCTCGAATCGACCAGAATTGTAATTCTACTCGATTGGAGATCGTTAATCAAACAAAAAGTTTCCAAAGATAATTCAAAGGTCCAGAAAAATAAAGATGAAAGCGATTTAGACGATCAAGATGATTGAAGAATGGACAATGTTGGATGTAACAGAATAAAAAAGGAAAAAAAAGAAAATACAATATTAGAATTTCAGAGAAAAAGAATCTGAAAAGAGATGAAAGGATTCAAACTAACCGATTGGGCTGAAACAGCAGCGAAAATAAATAATAAAACGAAAGATGATTTAATGAACATTGTGAATTAACTCGATGAAGTTTAGGTAATCTCAGGTAAGAACACAAAATAAAAAATTAACGAACTGAATAAATTTGATCAACAAAAACTGATTGTTCCAATGAAGAAAGTCTAATCCATTGACCTAATGGAACCAAAGACAAGACACTAACTGATCACAACTCGAAGGAGATTCTCAAAGTCTTTAAAACTTTTCCAGGTAAAGAGTGAGTCCATTGATTAATTACACTTTATCTCTCTCTCTCTCTTTCTCTCTCTTCCTTTCTCACTCACTCACTTTCTCTTTCATTTTCTAAACGAGGGGGTTGCTCTTCCTCTTTTTTCTACTTTCGTTTTCATCTTCATCCACTTTCTCTTCTCACTCTCTTAATCCTCTTCGCCACTCACTCTTACATCTTCGTTCTCATCTTCCTTTCATTCATTTACCTGTCGAGAAGGCGTATTTCTCTCTCTCTCTCTCTCTCTCTCTCTCATCTTATCTTCCAGTCACGAATAAGCCTCTTTCTCCCGAACTGCGAAAAAAATATATTCAACCACGAAAATTACGTTTAGGTATGAGATTCATCTTACCTTCTATAAGATAGAAAGAGAATTAAAGAAGAAGATAAGAATGAGAGAAAAATATAATAAGATAAAGTAACATGAAGATTGAATGATTATGATGATGATGAGAAAACTTGATTCTCAACAATGAACAATTATAATCAATGGAGGACAAAATTCATCTTAGACTCACAATAACAACGATAATTTTTTTTTGCGTTTTTCCATCTTCTCTTTCTTTCTTTTTCTCTTACTCTGAATGTAGGTGTTTGTAGCCATTGTACTCTATCCATGATGATGATTAACAGTAGATGATGAAAGGTAGATTTAGATATACAAATTGGTTGCGTTATTACCTGGAAATTATCTTAACCGTGGAAAGTTTAACGCGATTACGAAGATATGGATTAATAAATGTTCAAGGATAAAAAGATAGGATTATCTATCATTGATCGACTGAAACATCAACTTTATCAATGAGTTTGAGGTTTAAATATAAAACTCGAGTGACGGTCGTTCGGAATGACCTTAGTTTTCAATGGTCATTTTCCTGACAGTTCGTGATTTCAAATCAACTTAAACAACTCATGGTGATTATAATCATCTAATCGATAGGAGTACAAATGAAAGGTCACCTTTTTCTTTGTTTTATAAGCTCAACTATCGGTAAAGTTAATCGACCATCAAAACAATTAATCAATAAAAATCTTGAATAACTAATCAATTCATTCACTTTAATCAACAACTCTACGTATGAATAATACATATAAATGATAATCTTTTAATCTTTTCGATCATTTTTTCTTTTCGTTCTTTCTTTATTTTTCTTTCAAATGGTCAACAAAAATGATGACCAGAAACAAGAAGAGAAAATGATAACAAAAGATGCTGAAGGTCTTTTGTCATTCTAATGTTAACATTGTTTTTCTTCATTATTAACTTTTCCTGCTCATTAATTAATTGAAGAAATTAGCTAATTGTCTTAATCTTTACTCACACTAATTGTAAAAGTAACAAAAAAAATCTCATTCAAAATATTATTTTTTCATTAAACAACAACAAACGATGAAAACTCTGAATGGATTAATCATAATTTGAGTTTTGTTAAGACTTAATCTTAATCATCAAAGTTTAATTCTAATACTGTTGGGTGTTAATCTCAAGGTGTTCAAATTAATAATTAGTAAAATAGTTAATCAAACAATTTTTCTGTTCGATTACGATATAATCATGAGCTAATTACCTTACAACCCCCTCTTATCATACACCAGGTAGATTAATCAACTCCAAGGTTTATGATGTGTGATTATGATATTTGGAGTTAATTGTTGGGTGGCATCATCGCCATTGGTTAAGACTGAGGAAACTTCATTGGATCGTAATTATCATGAACACGTAACCATCAATCGTCGGCTCGGCGATGAATTAAAAAACCAAGATAACAATTAAATCTCGCCAGTTACGATATGGAAAACACAACAACATCATCATCAACAAAATGAAACAACAACAATAACAACGATTTGTCTTATTTTTTTAATCATCAATTCTCACGCTTCCTTTCCCTTTTCTTTATCATGATGATCGTAATCATCATCATCTTACTGATTTACATGATAATATTATTCACTTGTTGTTTCACTCAGATTTCCAAGCCTTTGCCGAAAATCTGATTCAAGGTGATCTCCTATTTTTTTCCAAGCAAACAATACATATAATTCAGTTTCACCCAACATCATCATTATCGTCGTCAGAAAGTAACAACGAAGTGAAAACTGTGATTTCTACTCACTTAAATCACTAGTGTTACTTTCTAGTCATTGGATAATAGTATTAATAATCAACTATCTTGGGTCATTTCTGTAAGTAAATGTCCAGTTTGTTTCAGAGGATTTTCCCAAGTTAATCATAGACGAAGTTATTACTTTTTCGTTTCTCTCTATCACATTTCGAAAGGGATTTTCCCTGCTTCTTGCTTTCGCCATCATAATCACCATCATTGGGGTATCCAATTAGTACTTGAGAATACCTTGTATTCACTGGTAACCCATCGAGCAATTATCCATTGATCCTCCTCTTTTTTTATTTCGATTGTGATTATCATTTAGATTAGGAAATATTTTCCAATTTTCTTGTAATTTAGTCGCTTCTAAATTATTTCATGTAATTTGGAATCAATTAAATCTAATCAATTAGAAGAAGAGAGTGAGAGACTCTTCTTGACCACCATCAATCATTCTCAATCACTTTTGATAAATTGACCACTTTTGGTCAATTCATCTCTCTCTCTCTCTCTCTCTCTTCCACCACGATTACAATTGTCCCTTTCTGACCGTAATCATCATTATATTTGTCATTAATAAGACATTTTCCTCTAATTATTGTTTACTATTATATCATTAAATTGATAATCATTACATACTCTGAGGCCAGAACAATTTAATCTCAACCAAATCAACCTAAAAATTGAATTACTGGACGATAATTGAAATGACCATGATGCTGAATAATGAAAAACCAATTGGATTGAAACAATCCTGAATAATATATTACATTGTAACTCTCTCAATCTTTCTCGTTAATCACAATTAACTAAAAAAGTTGAATGACTCAAAATAATCTATTGTTTTCAACAATAATGAGAAAATGTATAATCTCAGAAAATTAAGTTAATTATAAATTCTGTGTATCTTTTTTTATCCAGACAAAACAAAGAACGAATTAAATTAACAAGCAACAATCAACTGCATCTAGATAACTATTGAATTCATTATAAGTACGAAATTAAAAAATTAAATCACTAGAAATCTTAATAAATTCAGAACATGGGGAGATCATGATCATCTATCTTGGATAATTAATATCAAGACTAACAATTAACTAGTTTTTTTCGCCGAGAAAAGAAAAGTTTTGTTTCACTTATGTAATAATAACGTAGTTTCGTAATTAATAGTCGAGGGTCAACCTTTTTTTTTCAATTATAATCAACAAATTGACTCACAATTAGCGATCATGATGATGATATTGTGAAGTAATCAAGAAGATGATAATGATGACGATTTCTCTTCCGTTTCAAATATACACTCACATCTTTTAGATCATCAGAGTTTTACTATTGTTCTTGATCATTTAAATATTGATAGTAAATAATTAACATTTAATTCCTTCTCGATCTCAAGTGTTTGTCTGTCATTGATTGTCATTATCATTAATCGTTGAACAATCAGTTTATCCATCAACAACGATTACCATTATCATCATCATCACTTATTATACAGTAAAAAAAAATAATCATTAAATTCACAACTTTAATCAGTTTTAGTAGGTTGATGATGATGATTTTCCTTCATAATAATAAAATGATAGCTGGAAATGGATTACATTTTGATTGTGCCAATAACAAATAAAGATGATTATGTTGATTGTTGATAACTTCAACTAACAATCTCGTCTCGAATGACGTTATGTTATTTTTTGTTTTGTTTACTAACTGTACTTTCCGTTTACAACGAGTAGGTGTTGACCATGAAACAGGTAATTAAAATGATCGTCATTGACCCTTTTCTATGTGTGTTTGTAATAATTAAATTCTCGGTAACAAAATTCGTACTCCTGTTAATATACATAATTTTCATTATTATCCAAATCTACATACGAATCATTTTTCTTGTACTTTATTTCCACCTTTTTTAATTACCACACACAAAAACAATATGAAATTCTGAGCTAATAGAAAGTGCCATTGAGAATATCATCTTCTCTCTCTCTCTCTCATTTCATCTTCCTTCTTTCTCATTCTCTTTAGCCTCCTCCTCATCTCTTGAGATTTAAGGACATTATTCATTGTCTATTAATACAATTAACGGTTTACACCAAGGTTAATCAATAGATTAATTATTCATAACCAACACTAAATGTAACAACAACACTGATCATTAGACCTGATAGGCAAACATGGACAAGACATTACCTTTTTTTCAGAAAGTTTTTCCAGTTCCTTATTATTATTTTTATTCAAACTAATATCATGTTAAGGTCACTAGAACTTTTTTTCTTACACCTTTAAGGTATTCAGAAAACTAATGAGTTCTTAATTATCTTAACCATGATCACCATTAATTATCATTTTCCATTGTTGTTTGACAGCAAAGACACACACAAATTCCAATTATTCACCAAGTTAGAGGGTAACTGAATTTCAGAACTTTGTTGAACAAGTAAATCTTATCGAAAATCTTTTGTTTCTCTCATACAGATTGAGAAAAGTTTTTTTTTTCTCTCGAAATTGTCTCAACATTTACCTTAATCACTGCCATCATTATTTTTTCTCACTTTTCTTTTATTCTCCTGATTAATTTGACCATCATTTTTCTCATCATATTACTACAGGTAATGTATTCGTACAGGTATTAATAATTATATTACCTTATGTTGTTACCTATCATTGTATTAATTTAACGAAATGTATACTATTGTAAATCTCAGGTCAACTTTGCGATATTAGTTTAACTAATTAGTTTGTTACAATTTAACGCCTTTTTGTGTGTTAACCTAATTAACGGGTTTTCTGTTATTTTTTTCCTCATCTTCATCTATTCTCATCTTTACAGATTTAATTGCTTGATTAGCTTGATCACTGGCGATTGTGGAGAAAGTTAATTGTTACTGATTATACAGTAATCATCATTATCTGATTAAAAACAATCAAATTGTGTTTTATTGTAATGGTTTCATCAAAGTTAATAATTATCACACCTTAAAAAAAATGAATCATTTAAATAAGCAGGGAAAACTATCTCAACAATTAACATTTTTATGAGATGTTGATTGTTTATTTAGATTAAAAAAAAGTGAAAGTGATTAAGATTCTGATTTTTAATTGTTACTCATCATTATGCCTCTAATGTAATAATAATTTTAATTAATTCCTCAATTAGTTTTGCTTTTATTTTATTTACTTGAAAATTGAAATATGAAATTCTGTAAAAACAGCTCAGCCAATCAAATTGTTGAAACAATCGGCAAATTAACTAATTATGAGCTACTTTTAATTCAAATAATAGTTAGAACTCAATATAAAATATCAATAATATCAATATAAAGTTTATTGAACAATTCTATGGTGGAAGTGGCCTGATGATCAATCGAAACCGATATGTTCAGAACCACCAACGATTTTTGTTGTTTGACGATTTGAATTAATCATTTCAATTAAGCATAAGTATTGATAGTTAGCAATTAAACTAATAAATTATAAGAATGAGAGGTGATTAATGACTTTTTTGACTCGTAATTTACTTTTGTCAAACTGGTCATTTCGAAAGTCATCGTTCCAATAGCAATATCATTCGAATTTTGTTCCAAGAAAGTTTTAAAAAAGTTCTTTGTTTTGAGCTAAATTCTGTACCACGAACATCATTTTGCTTCGAGGGACTTTGTTCCAGAAATATCGACGAGTCCAGCTATATCCACTATAAATGAATTACTAATACTTTTGAGAAACTGAATACAAACATAATCATGTGCATTTATCATTCTTTTTGCTGAATTGTTGTTTATATTGATGAATAGATTATAATTCTGATGAACATTAAGTCAAGTTAAAAAAGTTTCGTGTACAATTAATTACAAAATGTAAAACATAATGGAAGCATGAAAGAAGGAAATAGAAAAGATAAGTCTTGGATTGATCAGCTGACAACCGGAAGTAAATCGATACTGATAATAAACAAGAAAGGAAAAAAAAATGACAACAAACTGACCAGCATTGGTAAGAATACAATGAAAAGTAGAAAGGAAAACTTTTCCCTCTTGATTTCATGTAATTCAGTGATATGAATGAATATCAACTGATGATAACGGTCAAGTGAAAAAAAGATTTCGCTTATTGTTCAATGAATCAACAATTATATTAATAATACTTTGATCAATTATCAATGAAGATGAGGTATAATCTTAAAGTTAACAATATGTAGACTCAATTGTCAAGAATAATAATCTTCAAGAAGGATTAGTGGAAGAGGTGAAGAAATGATTGAATGGAAAAGCCGATTAGTAATAGTAAAAGAGGAAAATGTGATTGAGTTAGAATTTTTAAGAATCAATGAAAGGAAGATAATTGTATGTATAGAGATATGTGAGAACTGTGAGAAAGAGAGAGTGAGAGAAATTCAGTTTGATAATGATATTCATATATATAAATCAGAGTAATTCATGGTGATTATTAGCACCATGATGATACAACTGTTGAAATGAGATGATTATGATAATAAGGATGAAAAATTGAAACATCAACACAAGTAAACAAGGATCATCATGTTAACATTAAAATGTTACACATTCACTTTTAATCACTTGTTTACTTTAATGATAATCATGATAATCAACAATAACGATAATGTTAATCATTAAGTAAGAAATAAGGATAATCAACAAATTACATGATCTTTTGTGTATTAATTCAAAAGATACATCAATAACAAGATAATCAAAAATTCAGGGTTGATCATCAGAAATCAAATCAACTTTGAATATTATCTTATTAACTTTTTCTCCAACAATTAACAATTAAAGAATCGCAGTTTTTTTAATCATCAACAATTTACTAAACATAAATGGTACAACAATTTTAAGTAGGTCAATGTTTACCTTGTGTGTTGTTGTTTTTAATCATCATCATCAACAATTAAGCAGCAATTTACAATTGCCAACGTTGATTTTTTTAATTTTCCTCTTCATTAGATTTAATTGTTTATCGTTATTCTTGTTTTTCATTGAATTTTAAACTTTGTCTTTTATTACCACAATTAACCTTTGATAAAATTTGATTAATTTAAACTTCTCACTGAATTTTACTCAATCCTAAACTTAATTGTTTATCAAATACTTATCGTTTATTTAATTAGTACCACTCGTTTACTAAGTTGATCAATTAATCAAGTTAGTGATGATAAAAATACGATAATGATCAATAATTACACCAATAAAACATCAATCCTTAAACTGTTAATCAAATTACTATTCAGACATTTTAATTTGATTGTTAACAAAATTTAGACAAAAGTTATTCAATTTAGCTTATTAGGAGTTTTTTTAGATTATCATCAGCAGTTAATTGTTGTAGGTGTGTTAATTGATTGTTATAGTAGGCTTTGATTCTGATTATTTGCTATTTAATTTAATTACGATTATTGTTGTTTCAATTCCATGTATGTTAAAAATACATTAAATTTTGATCTTGATATGTTAACAATCAACCCAATTAACATCAATTCATCAACTTGATGATTAGTGACTTGATTTTCATTCATAAATTACAATTAAATGGCAGACAATTGATTGTATTATTATGATAGAAAATCGTTGATTGTCTAAACGATGAATCGCAATAACTAATTTACAATCAAGTCTAAATTTTCCGGAATCAAATTAAACCTGATTTTATATTTCAAATTGATTTTTGATCTTACCAAATTAAGAATATTGATCAATTGTCATATTGAATCCGAACAACAATTAAATCAATTCTCACAATTAGAGATGAGTTTAAATAAGAGATGGCGACAATTTTTCCATTCAATTGAGACCAATCAGTTAATTGTTTAAAGATTTCATTCTTTAGCGTAAATAATTAGCTGATTTACCTTTTAAGAGAATAATTGACTATGAGCAATTAAATTAATTGTAATCTTCAACTGTACTCATTTAGTTTACCAATAAATTGATGTAAATTGTTTTCTTTCCAGGTATTAAAGGTGAAGGAGTTAATTTGATTGTAAGAAATGGTCAATTGATTTTGTTTACTCTTCTAATTCAAACCTTCATTTTGTTGTTTTCTTTCAAGTGTCATCATCATAAAGTGACCCTACCTTTAGACCTTGTGCTTAATCTGATTACCTTCCGTTTCCTTGTCCACCATTTTAGTTGAATTTGCTGACCGCTTGTAGTAGGCTAATGTTACATGTCGTTCCTCTCTCTCTCTCTTCATTGTCTCCGTGTCTTTTGTAATCTGAATGTCTTTTGAGATGATTAAGTAGCTAAGTTAGTTAATTGTCTAATCATTTAACTCTTTCTCTTCATAATCATTGATAATTAAGATGATGACCTTTAATTGTTGTTTTCACTTGTTGTTATTGTTTACCTTGTGAGTTGAGCTTTTATTAATTATCTTGATAACGTGTAAATGGACAAACAATTTAGAAAATGAAAACAAAGGTGAAAAACAACAACAAACCAGAAAATTAATAGTTAATTGTTTAACCTTTCAGATGAAATTTAAATTGGTTGTTCAATTTAACAACAATTTGTCAAATTCCGTTATAAATGGAGAGAGAGAATGATAGATAAATAAAGTTCATATAATTTTAATTGTAGTCACTTTACTCCTTTAACTGTTATCTTCATCCTCAAGATTATCCCTTAATGATACAGCAATTGACACTTTAATTAACTTTTTTTTCTTTCTTTCTGTTAATCAATAATCTTTGATTGATTGATTGATTGATTGGGAACGTATACTAAAAGATACAACTGGAAATTCAATGAAAAATTGTTACTGTTATGCTAATAAGTAGAAATAATTGTTTACAATTTAATACTAATTATCTTAAAATTAAAATAATTGAAACAATTAGCATAAAATTTACCTTTACCAATAAGTTTTTCTTCGTTCATTAGCTTCTAATTAGAATCAATTACAATATTTTCTGATTAAATTAAAACTTTTCCCAAGACTTGATCAATAATCACGATCAGTGAATTCGCAAAACAATTAAATCTACATATGAACCACTTGATTAAGAAAAAAATTGAATTGATCAATAATTGTGAGAAATTTTCAACTAATCAAATCAATTTTCACAATTTAGCCTTGTAAAGTACTGGTGAAATTAGTTGATCAGATTTATTTCTTATTGATTGTTAAATAATCATTCCAATATATCAAGTTAATTGTCTTTAGGTTTAAGGACATTAACTACTGATTTAAGTTGATTGCTGGTGTGATATTGATATAAATTAATAATTGACCATGAAAGCAATCAACAAGGATATCAAGACAATTACTCGCCACGATTAACTATGAAAATGATGAACCAAATTGTAATCAATTTGATTCACTAATCAAGACTTGATTAACTTGATCAATATATCAATTAACTTGATCATGAGTTGAAAGATTTGAATAAAATTTTTTGTTTCATTTAACTGTTAATAAATTGACAGGACAATTAAATTTCTCAATAAATAAAAACAGTTTGAAGATTAATCAACAAACTAAAAACTGACAATGACGATGATTAAAATCAACTGCTAATCAAGACAAACAATTAATAAAACTGTTCAATTTTTCCTGAAGTTTAAATTGTCAATCATGATTAAAGTTAATTGTTAATCTTGTTA